AAACTCGTACCAACGTAAACTCGTACCACTGGGAAGTCGTACCAATCAGAACTCGTACCATTAAAAATATATTCAAAAATACGAAAGTTTTATGATTTTTTTTTTTGGTAAACTAAATAAAAAAAGTTGAATTACTTGAATTTTATACTAGATTTTAATGAAAACTTTGACAAAAATACGAATGTTTTATGATTATTTTTTTTTAAGCTTTATACAAAAAATTAAAATATCTTTGAAATTTATACCAGATTTTAATGAAAACTTAGACAAAAATACGAATGTAATTTCTTAATTACCATGCTAATAAATATATTAAATTCCTTTGATTGTGTGATTATTGGTTGATTATTAACTAATCAACTTGTTTTTTTTTATCTTTAACTAATCAACTTGTATAATCATATAAGCATGGTCATATTCTGCTGAAATGTGCTGAATATTGTATAAAAATAAATTTCATACTTTCTAACTGTTGGTCATAAACAATTTTAAACCTTTAAAACACAATCAATAAATTCTTTCATTAAATAAAATTCCTTTTAGAAACAATAGAAAAATACCCAAATCTATTCAATGTTACTGATTTGGAATGATTAAAAATTAAATCAAATAGTTGTCAGTAAAAGTTTAAAAAAGAGTCTATTCAAGGGAGACAACAAAGCCAATCTGTCACGGTTTACTCTATCCAATTAGACAAGGAAAATTAGCTACAAATTGGTTATTGTAATTTCAAATTATATACATTTTACAGACTTAAGAGGTATTGAGTGAAATTAAAGTATATATTCATCATTAAACACCATTTGAATGCATTTAAATAAGTTGGTACGAGTTTACAATGGTATGAATTTACCGTGGTAAAAGTTAGCAGTGGTACGAGTTTGCATTGGAACGAGTTTTTGTTTAGTGGTACGAGTTGACATTGGTACGAGTTTACAATGATACGAGATAACTATAATTCCTTTGTACTCGTAACCTGGCAAAATATTAACTAGATTTATTCATTACAATCTGGATAAAACTATGTTAGCCTGATTCAATGTACATCAAAATGTATGTTATGTAAATCCAAAGGACAAACAATGAGAGACGTATGCAACAAACATACATTGTTTGTACCTAAATAACTATAATATAGATGAGAGCATGTCATTCAGATTGTTTTGTTCCTGTTAACATTGTCGTTGATATTTTTCAAGAAAGTCTATGAGGCATAGCTTATGCATTCCTGTCATTACTACATAAGCATAATTACTGCTAAAATAATTCTCAGTATGATATACCTCTTGTAAGTAATCATTATAATTGTAGCAAGCACCAAAAAATCTCAAACAGATCACATTGAATCGTAATCCAAAAAATTATGACGTCTTGAATTAACCACCCCCTTTTATTCTAAAACGATAATTGCGGTTGTAAACAGACTTTGGTTTATTCGCATGGCGATTACATATATAACTATATATTTTAAAAAGAAAATAGAGTTTTACCATGAATAGTTTCCTGCACGTAGTCTTTTTCAGTAAAATGTGCCTTGCAAACAAAAGCTGATTGAGATGGACTCCACGATTTCATCGTGTTCTCGTCCAATCTGCGAATGGGCCATGGCGTTGTTCCAACTTTTCCTTCTTTTTAAGTCATATGGAAATGCATGTCCTCCTCTTAAATGACATCCAGGTACACAACAACAAGTACTTGGCATCGTTAATTAAAAATGCAACTGTAACAGTTGCACAGTGCAGAAACCGGAAGTTGAAGTACAGGATCGGCTACCACGGCGCCACCTATTCAGGAACGATAATTTGCTACTTTATATAATTGCGAAATAACAATAACGTTAGACGTGTTCGCGTGCATAAACAGAAATGCGCTTTAAATTTTATAATATAATTCATGTTCAGTCGACCTTTAATTATTATATCAATGACTGAAATGATTTATAAACATCTAGATTGCAGATAACACTCGAAATTAACCCGACCTCTTTCCACACGGAATTCAAATAATTCTAGTTTGTCAATCGGTTGACTGCTTATAATGTAAAATACAAATATATCAAAAGTTTTTAAAACTAACAAAACACAATGATCGTTTCTCTTTTTCCCAATGTAAATGAAATGAGACAAAAAACATTTTATACCACAATAAGAAGAGGAGAGAATCAACATTTTCCGGATCTACTTGGAGCTAAATGACCCCCCAGATAAGTTGGATATCGCGGAAAGAAATATTAACACGGCAACTAGAAAGGCATTAAAGCACTGCCTTTAAAAATGCTTTGTTTGAAGTGTTTACAATGGTTTAAACATAACTCTATGAACATTTTCATGCACAGTACATTGTTTAAACAGGGCCCCAGATAGCTTCAACTGGTTTGAAAGAATTGTATAATTTTAGAACTTTTCCAGATTGGAATTAATAGTGATAAGGTGAATCACTGTTACTATGTTTCAAGTGAAAAATGTAGACAGATTATGTTTCACAGTTATACATCGCTGCAATGTTACTTTTCTTGCATTTTGGAATATTTTCACATTAAAAACTCCAATTTAAATAATCCATACACAAATAAAATGCTCCGCTGGGGCGCAGCTTGATACGACCGCAGAGGTCGAACCCTGAACAGTTGGGGCAAGTATGGACACAACATTCAAGCTTGATACAGCACTGAATTTGGATTGTAATTAAATATTTGACACAGCATAGGTTTCTGACACACAATGAATGTGGTCTTAGAACTTAAAAATTTTTAATTTACCAATTCAAACCATATCATTATTATTTGCTTTTATATATAAATCAAAAATAACCAATTTAAAATGGAAAATTTTAAAGAAAAAAAAGGATAAAAAAATCCCCCCCCCAAATTTTTTGAACCCCCTTATGATTCATCACCCCCAAACTCAATTCCAGCCTTCCCTTTGTGGTATGGTACCTTGCAGTACAATTTCAGAGAGATCCATACACTTGAACACAAGTTATTGTCTGGAGACTAGAAAAATGCTTATTTTTTGGCCCCTTTTTGGCCCCAAATTCCTAAACGTTTAGGGCAATTACCTCCAAACTCAAACCCAGCTTTCCCTTTGTGATATGGAACCTTGCAGTACAATTTCATAAAGTTCCATACACTAACACACAAGTTATTGTCCTGAAACTAGAAAAATGCTTGTTTTTTTGCCCCTTTATGGCCCCTAATTACTAAAATTTTGAGGGAATTACCCCCAAAATTAATCCCACCCTTCCCTTTGTGGTATGGTACCTTGCAGTACAATTTCAGAGAGATCCATACACTTGAACACAAGTTATTGTCTGGAGACTAGAAAAATGCTTATTTTTTGGCCCCTTTTTGGCCCCAAATTCCTAAATGTTTAGGGCAATTACCTCCAAACTCAAACCCAGCTTTCCCTTTGTGATATGGAACCTTGCAGTACAATTTCATAAAGATCCATACACTAACACACAAGTTATTGTCCTGGAACTAGAAAAATGCTTGTTTTTTTGCCCCTTTATGGCCCCTAATTCCTAAAATTTTGAGGGAATTACCCCCAAAATTAATCCCACCCTTCCCTTTGTGGTATGGTACCTTGCAGTACAATTTCAGAGAGATCCATACACTTGAACACAAGTTATTGTCTGGAAACTAGAAAAATGCTTATTTTTGGCCCATTTTTGGCCCCTTACTCCTAAACATTTTGGGCAATTACCCCCAAACTCAATTCCAGCTTTCCCTTTGTGATATGGAACCTTGTAGTACAATTTCATAAAGATCCATACACTTACATACAAGTTATTGTCATGAAACCAAAAAAAATGCTTGTTTTTTGCCCCTTTTTGGCCCCTAATTCCTAAAAGTTGGAGGCAATTACCCCCAAAATCAATCCCAGCAGTCCCTTTGTGATATGGAACCTTGTGGTACAATGTCAGAGAGATCCATACACTTACACACAAGTTATTGTCATGAAACTAGAAAAATGCTTATTTTTTGCCCCTTTTTGGCCCCTAATTCCTAAAATTTGGAAGCAATTACCGCCAAAATCAATCCCAGCATTCCCTTTGTGATATGGAACCTTGTGGTACAATGTCAGAGAGATCCATACACTAACACACAAGTTATGTCTGGAAGTTACAAAAAAGCTTATATTTGGCCCCTTTTTGGCCCCTAATTCCTTAACTGTTGGTACCATAACCCCCAAAATCAATCCCCACCTTCCTTTTGTGGAATTGAACCTTATGGTAAAATTTCATAGAGATCCATTTACTTAAACTAAAGTTAAAGTGCGAAAACCAATGTGTCTTCCGACGACGACAACAACGACGCTTGACGACAACGACGACAACGCCAACGTCATACCAATATACGACCGCAAAATTTTTTGCAGTCTTATAAAAATGAAATCTGTGACTCTATAAGTTATTTACATAGAGGAATTGATTAGTTTTAAAACAGTTTTCTCAAAAAATGTGCATATTTTAAGAAATTTGAAGAGGTTGATTCTGTATCAAAATTAATCTGTTAGGGGTTATCAGCTGAATTGGACCCAACTATTCATTAATTCAGTCATCAACATTCACATATATACAAATAAGAAGATGTGGTATGATTGCCAATGAGACAACTCTCCACAAAAGACCAAATGACAGAAGTTAACAACCATAGGTCACTGTACGGCCTTCAACAATGAGCAAAACCCATACCGCATAGTCAGCTTAAAAAGGCCCATAATGACATGTAAAACATATGTTCACCAATATACCAGTTAGTCATTCTCAAATTTGAACACTTGAAGTATAATGATGTTATCCAATCACGATCACACTGTATATGACAACTATAGCATTATTGTTAAAATAAATGTACAATAACTTATCTAATCAGACATTGCAGATCTTGTAAATGTTATGCATTTCACCTCCTGTCACATGGGAAGTTGACACCCTTTCCCATTTAATCTTGCTTGATTACTTTATTCATTCCAAACAAGTCTAAAGAAACAATTTACCTATCGTCTAAAGATTTAATTTTATCTTGGTATTTCTTGTCTATAGTCTTCAGTTCCTTTACCAACTTTTCACATTTTTCAGACATAGATTTCTTGTCATCAATCAGCTGTAATAGAAGATACTTCAAATGATGCCAATAAAACATATATCCAAATAAACTTATCTATGTTAAAATAAAATGCTCCGCTGGGGCGCAGCTTGATACGACCGCAGAGGTCGAACCCTGAACAGTTGGGGCAAGTATGGACACAACATTCAAGCTTGATACAGCTCTGAATTTGGATTGTAATTAAATATTTGACACAGCATAGGTTTCTGACACAGAATGAAAGTGGTCTAACAACTTAAATTTTTTTAATTTACCTATTCAAACCATATCATTATTATTTGCTTTTATATATAAATCAGAAATAACCAATTTAAAATGGAAAATTTTAAAGAAAAAAAAGGAAAAAACAATCCCCCCCAAATTTTTTGAACCCCCTTATGATTCATCACCCCCAAACTCAATCCCAGCCTTCCCTTTGTGGTATGGTACCTTGCAGTACAATTTCAGAGAGATCCATACACTTGAACACAAGTTATTGTTTGGAAACTAGAAAAATGCTTGTTTTTTTTCCCTTTTTGGCCCCTAATTCCTAAAATTATGAGGCAATTACCCCCAAAATCAATCCCAGCCTTCCCTTTATGGTATGGTACCTTGTAGTACAATTTCAGAGAGATCCATACACTTGAACACAAGTTATTGTCTGGAAACTAGAAAAATGCTTATTTTTGGCCCCTTTTTGGCCCCTTATTCCTAAACTTTTTGGGCAATTACCCCCAAACTCAATTCCAGCTTTCCCTTTGTGATATGGAACCTTGCAGTACAATTTCATAAAGATCCATACACTTACACACAAGTTATTGTCATGAAACTAGAAAAATGCTTGTTTTTTGCCCCTTTTTGGCCCCTAATTCCTAAAATTTGGAGGCAATTACCCCCAAAATCAATCCCAGCATTCCCTTTGTGATATGGAACCTTGTGATACAATGTCAGAGAGATCCATACACTTACACACAAGTTATTGTCATGAAACTAGAAAAAGTCTTTTTTTTGGCCCTTTTTGGCCCCTAATTCCTAAAATTTGGAGGCAATTACCCCCAAAATCAATCCCAGCATTCCCTTTATGATATGGAACCTTGTGGTACAATGTCAGAGAGATCCATACACTAACACACAAGTTATGTCTGGAAGTTACAAAAATGCTTATTTTTGGCCCCTTTTGGCCCCTTATTCCTTAACTGTTGGTACCATAACCCCCAAAATCAATCCCCACCTTCCTTTTGTGGTATTGAACCTTATGGTAAAATTTCATTGACATCCATTCACTTAAACTAAAGTTAGAGTGCGAAAACTAATGTGTCTTCGGACGACGACGACGACGCCAACGTCATACCAATATACGACCACAAAATTTTTTTTGCAGTCGTATTAAAACACATACCCAATACCTTTGATTCATATAATTTCGGTTACCAGAAAAGTTTTTTACTATACACTCATTTCTAACGTCTAACAATATCCATTCGTTTGCTCAAAATACTGATGTAGATTTTATGCCCAACAAAAGCACAAATGACGTGAAATAACGTCACCTAAAACTAAACACTTTGACCGGAAGATAACAATTGAAATCAAGCGTATTAAAATTACCTATGTTAAAAAAGACACTAACCAGTGTGAACATTTGACTTTGTCTCATCTTTAAACAACATTCAAGTGTGAATGGAAACATTTATTTCATCTTTATAATCACAGACAGATTCATGTGGTTCCATTTGATTTCATACAAGTCTCACTCATGTAGAGAACACATATTTTCCTGTACAAGTGTGCACACAGGAATGTCTTAAGTTTGACAATAGTTGAACATCTTTCATATAATTTTATAGCAGTTAGTGTTACTGGTGGAGAAAAAAGAAATGCTTAAACACAAATACCTTGAAAGAAAACTGAGACCCCTTATGAAAATGGAGTGCCCAAACACCAATGCTGGGGAAATAAATGATAGACTAAGGATTTTAAGGGAAAAAGAGTGCCGCAACACCAATGCTGGACAGGTTTATAATGAACTGAGATCACTGTTGGGCAAGTAAATATCAAACCTAGAACTCTTTCTTACTTACATAATAATAGACAGATTGAATAACATAGTGGACACATACATGTTTCACTTAATTTATAAAATACAAATCCAATACTTCAATCTGTGTTCAAAGAAAGGTCTCCCAAGTATAACGTAACACACATCAAGGTATCCAATCACCAAGCTTTATATTTTGTTTATTTTGCCCTGTTAATTTTGGTGGTTGTAACCTTTGGATAGTTCTTTTTCCCATGCAATTTACTATTCATGTTATAATTGTACTCAGACTGGACATTTCATCCATTTGAGATGAGAGTATCTTCCATTGAAAACAACTTATAAAGAAAAAAGGTAAGTTTTATCTCTTGTTCAATGATTAATTACTTTTAGAAAAATTATCTATCTGTTTGTTCTGGGGATTTTCAACCTATTCAAGGTCGAGGTATTTTTCTTTTTTTTCTCCAATATTTCACACTTGTTTTCACTGAAATTGCTCCGTATATCAGATATTGACAATGCAGTTACCTGATCTATAAATCCTAAATGTCTTTTTATAGCTTCCTCATACTCATCTTTTTGAACATCCAATCTTTTGTTCATTTCCCTCTCTGCTTCTCTAGCATGTCGTACAGTTAACTCCCTTTGCTGGTTCTATTTATAGAAATAAATAAAAGGACATGTATTTTACAATTCTATAAATAGAAACAAAACAAATAACATAAAAGCACTTCCCTTTTTCGCCTCAATTTCCAGTCACTCACTAAACTAATGTTATTCAACGCCAATAAATAACCAAAGTTTTCATTTTTATTTTCTCTTTAAATCCAATTTATTTGCTACCATTCCACCAAATAATGTTGGATAATTAACAGAAAATTACAAAAAAAACTTTCTGTAGCAAAGATACACTTTTCTTTTTCCTTCTAACCAAATAATGTTAAATAACAATTATAAATTACCAAAGCTTTCTGCAGCATAGAAACACTTCTCTTTTTCTCATCTAATTCCATTCTCTGCGACAGAACTGTAGATGTTACTTCATCTGCAGCTTCCTTTGCATGGTCCAACTGTAGAAGTTCATCAGCGGAGGGTACTAGCATGGGCGGTAACTCAAAATTATGAGATTCTTTTGCTAGTTCCTGTGAAGAAAGAAAATAGATTTTAAAGAATAATTTGAATGGTGATTCAGGAATACAGTAGGAATAAATCTAAACTTGATATACATGTTTTTAGATTAAATTCTATTGTTCAAATAAATTTATAATGGTATATTTTTCAATATAGAAAAGTTGTTCTTCACAAAGTTTTGTAATACAAAGAATGAATTAGAAATGTGCCAGAAAAGGGGAGGTAATTAACAACGGACCTACAGCTCTCAGACTTGTATGGCATTTAATTATCTGTTTATACATTTCTCAATTTTTCAAACATGACACAACAACCTCTATTGTTTTCAATTCTAGGGGCCGTCTTAAACTTGCAGTGAGGTGAGTTTTTTTGCTCTGTGATGAAGGCCTCACTGTGACTTTGAGATGAAGAACAGCAATAAAGCGCTGTTCTTTGCTTTTTGTGTGTTTTTTGCTGTGCATGTACTGATTTTATGTCATGGATTGATGGACCCCATATCCTTTGTTTTTCTATTAAATGATTGATTGTTGTTTGTTTACTGTCCTGTGAGATGAGAACATATAATTAGATTGTGTAGATTCTGTAACAGGGTGAATCTAGATTATCTAATCAAAAAACATTTTTCAAGTTGCTAAAGGAATTTAGTTCTTTCTTTAAAATTCTGCAGACAACCAAGTTGTCACTAAGCAGATTTTCACTAACTTATTATTTTTTTTTAGAATTACCATGACCAAAAAGGTGTATATATAACAAATAAGTGTGCACATTACATTGTTTTTCATAGTGTGTTCAAAATAATATACCTGGTCTACAGAACTGAGTCTGTCTGACGTCTGTACTTCATCTAAGAAGGTCATTATACTTTTTAACTTATCGTCTGTCAAAAATCCACTCTTACTAACAGAATCTCCGACTGAGTTTAATTTCTGTAACTTCTCAGATGTTAAATGAGATTTGGTTGAATCTTTATCTATGTCTTCCACTGAAACAAATAAGCATATCAAAACAGAAGACAAGGAAATTAACACATCAGATTTATTCTAAGGCCTTTAACATTTTGAAATAAAAGTTTACTAGGCAATATTTTTAATACAGGGAGCTGGGAGGTTACAAATTACTTTCAAATAATATTTTGTTAAAATGTCGTTTAAACATGTTTTGTTTCTTTATTCTGGACAGAAACAAAATTTTATAAAAATAATAATTTACTGGCACATAAACCCAATGTGATGTACACTTGTAACCCATTCAATTATATAGTTTATTCCTTTTAGACATTTATCAGTACATATTATACATTATACAACTAAATTTTTATTGCAAAATCTTTCATCAAAATAATTATTTCCCACATGAAAATAGCCTTTTTACATGTTCCTCAGAGTATATATAACAAACCGTACGATGAGTGAACATTGTATCATTGTTTTATGGCTTGGGCTGCAAACATCGTAAGAGTATTTTCTAATGAATTCAATTATGTCGTGATTAGGGACACTAACTTTCAATCAGTTGTACATCAAAGACTAACTTTCAATCAGTTGTACATCAAAGAGCTTTGAATACCTTTTAAAATTCAGACAAGAAATTATAAAATTGTAAATCAAAACGAAATAATTAATTGCCTTTGTCCACGCTTGTAATGGAAGTTATAAATGAACACTTTAACCTAGTGTGACAAAGCAAGGATTTTGACAGTTCAAAACATTTTCAATGAATTTCTATCTATTGTTTTATTGTTATTCCAACAACGATTCCAGAATTTACGTAATTGAAACATTTATTTTTCATTTTTGAAACATTTATGTATCCCCCAAAATGTCTTTTTTTTCTCCATCCACGAAAATAAATACCCAAGAAAATAAATGAATCCACAGTATTTGATGGCTAGTTTAAGTATAGACTTACACCATCAATTCTTTATGACTAGTTTAGGGTTAGACTTACACCAATCATTCCTTGTGACTAGTTTAGGGTTAGACTTACACCACCAATTCTTTGTGACTAGTTTAGAGATAGACTTACACCACCCATTCTTTGTGACTAGTTTAGGGTTAGACTTACACCACCCATTCTTTGTGACTAGTTTAGGGTTAGACTTACACCATGTATTCTTTGTGACTAGTTTAGGGTTAGACTTACACCATGTATTCTTTGTGACTTGTATAGGGTTAGACTTACACCACCCATTCTTTGTGACTAGTTTAGGGTTATACTAAAACCAAGTATTCTTTGTGACTACTTAACGGTTAGACTTACACCATGTTTTCTTTGACTAGTTTAGGGTTAGACTTACAGTACCCAATCTGTGCGACTAGTTTAGGGTTAAACTTTCACCACCTAATCTTTGTGACTGGTTAAGGATTAGACTTACACAATGTATGCTTTGTGACTAGTTCAGAGATAGACTTACACCATGCATTCTTTGTGACTAGTTTAGAGATAGACTTACACCATGCATTCTTTGTGACTAGTTTAGAAAAAGACTTACACCACCCATTCTTTGTGACTAGTTTAGAGATAGACTTACACCACCCATTCTTTTTGACTAGTTTAGAGATAGACTTACACCATGCATTCTTTGTGACTAGTTTAGAAAAAGACTTACACCACCCATTCTTTGTGACTAGTTTAGAGATAGACTTACACCACCCATTCTTTGTGACTAGTTTAGAGATAGACTTACACCATGCATTCTTTGTGACTAGTTTAGAGATAGACTTACACCACCCATTCTTTTTGACTAGTTTAGAGATAGACTTACACCATGCATTCTTTGTGACTAGTTTAGAGATAGACTTACACCACCCATTCTTTTTGACTAGTTTAGAGATAGACTTACACCATGCATTCTTTGTGACTAGTTTAGAGATAGACTTACACCACCCATTCTTTTTGACTAGTTTAGAGATAGACTTACACCATGCATTCTTTGTGACTAGTTTAGAGATAGACGTACACCACCCATTCTTTGTGACTAGTTTAGAGATAGACGTACACCACCCATTCTTTGTGACTAGTTTAGAGATAGACTTACACCATTCATTCTTTGTGACTAGTTTAGAAAAAGACTTACACCACCCATTCTTTGTGACTAGTTTAGAGATAGACTTACACCACCCTTTCTTTGTGACTAGTTTAGAGATAGACTTACACCATGCAATCTTTGTGACTAGTTTAGAAAAAGACTTACAACATGCTTTCTTTGTGACTAGTTTAGAGATAGATTTACACCATGCATTCTTTGTGTCTAGTTTAGAGATAGACTTACACCATGCATTCTTTGTGACTAGTTTAGAGATAGACTTACACCATGCATTCTTTGTGACTAGTTTAGAGATAGACTTACACCATGCATTCTTTGTGACTAGTTTAGAAATTGACTTACACCACCCATTCTTTGTGACTAGTTTAGAGATAGACTTACACCATGCATTCTTTGTGACTGGTTTAGGAGTTTCCAATTGTTCATCAGCTTCTAACTTTTTAAGAGTATCTAACAGATCATCTAATGTTGTTTTAGTTGATGCAGCCTCGCTCCTTTCTTTTCTTGCACTCTCTCTACTAGACTCTCCTGGGTTTATATTTGATATTGACTACAACATGCATCAAAACATAAAGGTTATTCTATAAGTTTAATATTTTCCATAGGAAGTCAATTTATCATTTTCCAAGATAAGTCAATTAAACAAAAAAGGAGTTATATGAAGGAGTGATAAAAATACACCACAGCAAGGCACAATTTACTGCCAAGATCATTATGTTTTTATAGGTACTTACATTGATTCTATAGGTACTTACATTGATTCTGTTATCAATGTGTATTGCTATAGAGTTATTAACCCTTATGTTTCTATATCATGTTGATACTTATATTTTGGCATTGCTGCCATTGCACAAGGTCATGTTTTCCAAGACTGTTTATGGTGTCATATCACTAAATCCATTGGATGTGTACTGATTGGTATTTTGTCTTAAATACATGATTTTTTTTTATTAGTTGTTATTGACTTCAAACTAGCTTTTATTAACTGCAGGTACTATCAGATCAGTACTTTTTGTCTTTGATGTTTGTTGTTTGTGTATGTTTGTATGCGTGTTAATACCTCTATTAAATCTTCATCCTCATCTCTAAGTTTAGAAACAGAAGTATTTGTATCTTGACCAATTTAAACGTGTTTATACTGAATGTATGAATACCTCTAATAAATCTTCATCCTTATCCAGAAATGTTAATATCACGATCAATTTAAACGTGTTTATACAGAATGTATGAATACCTCTAATAAATCTTCATCCTCATCTTTAAGTGTAGAAACAGAAGTATTTGTATCACGATCAATGTTACTATCTTTAGATTTACTTGGTACAGGAGAGCCACTAACTGGTGATTTCTTTTTTCCTACACGTAATGGTTTTTTGGTTATTTTACCACTTGCTTGTAAATATGTTATTTCCTCCTCCGCTTTTCTTTTAACTTCTTCCCTTTTAAGTTCTCTTTTTTTCTGTAATTCCTGTAGAATATGAATAAAATATGTGTATCTTTGGTGTTCATCAACTTTTTCAAGCATCACAGTAGATACAAGTGCTTGTGATTCTATTTGATTTCACAGTAGATACAAGGGAGGTTATCCTTCCTGAGGACTTGTGATTGTATGTGATTTCACAGTAGATACAAGGGAGGTTATCCTTCCTGAGGACTTGTGATTGTATGTGATTTCACAGTAGATACAAGGGAGGTTATCCTTCCTGAGGACTTGTGATTGTATGTGATTTCACAGTAGATACAAGGGAGGTTATCCTTCCTGAGGACTTGTGATTGTATGTGATTTCACAGTAGATACAAGGGAGGTTATCCTTCCTGAGGACTTGTGATTGTATGTGATTTCACAGTAGATACAAGGGAGGTTATCCTCCATGAGGACTTGTGATTCTATTTGATTTCACAGTAGATACAAGGGAGGTTATCCTTCCTGAGGACTTGTGATTGTATGTGATTTCACAGTAGATACAAGGGAGGTTATCCTTCCTGAGGACTTGTGATTGTATGTGATTTCACAGTAGATACAAGGGAGGTTATCCTTCCTGAGGACTTGTGATTCTATTTGATTTCACAGTAGATACAAGGGAGGTTATCCTTCCTGAGGACTTGATTCTATTTGATTTCACAGTAGATACAAGGGAGGTTATCCTTCCCGAGGACTTGTGATTCTATGTGATTTCACAGTAGATACAAGGGAGGTTATCCTTCCCGAGGACTTGTGATTCTATGTGATTTCACAGTAGATACAAGGGAGGTTATCCTCCCCGAGGACTTGTGATTCTATGTGATTTCACAGTAGATACAAGGGAGGTTACCCTCCCAGAGGACTTGTGATTGTATGTGATTTCACAGTAGATACAAGGGAGGTTACCCTCCCCGAGGACTTGTGATTGTATGTGATTTCACAGTAGATACAAGGGAAGTTACCCTCCCCGAGGACTTGTGATTGTATGTGATTTCACAGTAGATACAAGGGAGGTTATCCTTCCCGAGGACTTGTGATTGTATGTGATTTCACAGTAGATACAAGGGAGGTTATCCTTCCCGAGGACTTGTGATTGTATGTGATTTCACAGTAGATACAAGGGAGGTTATCCTTTCCGAGGACTTGTGATTGTATGTGATTTCACAGTAGATACAAGGGAGGTTATCCTCCCTGAGGACTTGTGATTCTATGTGATTTCACAGTAGATACAAGGGAGGTTACCCTTCCTGAGGACTTGTGATTCTATGTGATTTCACAGTAGATACAAGGGAGGTTATCCTCCCTGAGGACTTGTGATTGTATGTGATTTCACAGTAGATACAAGGGAGGTTATCCTTCCTGAGGACTTGTGATTGTATGTGATTTCACAGTAGATACAAGGGAGGTTATCCTTCCTGAGGACTTGTGATTGTATGTGATTTCACAGTAGATACAAGGGAGGTTACCCTTCCTGATGAATACATGGTTTCAGAATCTAAAGGACTGTAGGTAATTTCATTATTTGTACCCCAAAATTAAAACAAATTCATGTCATTGGCTGACGTTCTATTGTTTAATACATTCTTAACCAATCACAATTCGTTGGTGTACACTTTTGAAAATTTTACCCAGAATGCACCAAATGTGAAACAGCGAACTGAGATTCTATGTGATTTCCTCACTGAGTTATTGTAGCTGCAAAGCAGAGTGAAGGACTTTTTTTATGTAAATAAAATATTTTTCATACAAGATTTGAAATAATATATTCTTTTCTACAGAAAAAAGTTTTTTTTTCTTCAAAAATGTATTCTGAAAGAAATGAAGGCTGTTCCATAAAAGCAGAAATGGGACACAGTGAATGCACTTTCAAATCTTAGCTATGGGTGAGTGCCAAATCCCTTTTGCACAATGATAATGTTAGAGAAATGAAAAAAATGCCTCTATAAGTGGTGACTCCAGTTTGAAAGCATCTTCTCTGTCCTTGGTTACAATGTATGTTTAAATGGGACAGCCTTGAAGCAATAGAACAATGAATATCTTTTATTACAAAATCAAAGCAGGGAATGTGCTGGGTTTCTCATATGTTACAAAATGTAATTTTTATTTCATTTGACGACAAAATATTGCTGCTGGCGATATTTCTGGCACCACTATCTTACAAATATCAAAAATGTTCTTGCTTGACTGTTGCGATTACAACATTCAATATCAGAGACCAAAAGAGGTAAAATATTTAAAGGTTATAATAATTATAGTTATTCAACTTGTCATCAGAGAGAAAAAGAGATCAAACTTATTTTGAAAATTATCAAAAAATCATTGAATTAATAATTGTGTCATATAAAGGGCTAAAGCTTGGAATAATACCTGAATAGCTTGTTGTCTTGCTTGCCTAGCTTTTTCCTCTCTTAATTTTTTCCTGTCTTCAGCACTTTTTTTCTCATTTTCATCCTCACTTAGAAAATCTAGGTCTAACATTTTATGATCTACATGATCCTGTTTTTTCTGTTGCAGTAAACGTTTAAGGGCAGCTTCCCCTGCTTTCACAGTTGCCTCATTTCTCAATTGACGAGCTTTGTGCTCACGATACCATCGCTGAATTTTTGTTGCTGCATTGTTTAAAGTCTTTATAAAATCCTCTGCAATATTCCGTCCTATTTGTTGTGATGTGTCTTGTTTTTTTAATTGTTGTGACACATCTTGTTTTTTCACCTCATTAACAGGAGTTTTATGTTTAATATTTTGATAAGAATTTTCTATATTTGACAACGAAGCTTTCACTTGTTGAGGTTTACTAGTTACAACCATATTGTTAGCAATACCACTAAAGTTACTAGCTTTAGGCACAGCATCTTTCACAACCCTATCACGTGGACTTAAGAATAAATCATTCATTTTATCTTGTTGAAGTTTATGCTTTTCTTTAAGTGCTTGTATTTTACTCAAGCTTGATGATAAACAGTCTTCTTCTGAATCAGAGCTGCTTCGAACACTTGATGGTTGGAAAAAATTTTCCTGTCTATCTGAAGAAGGTAAAAAATCATCAAAATCTTTATTTTCTGTTCTTGTTGTACTGTTAGTTCTTGCTGTACTGTTAGATCTTGCTGTACTGTTTGTTCTTGCACTGTCGCCTGCTCCAAATTTCTTTGGCTGTAAAAAAATGATTTTTCATTGAAAGAAAATGCTTATAGTACTGAGATTTAATACTTTGAAACAAGTTATAGCAGAATGATAATCCTGAAGTTTTTTTTTTATTATAACTTCAAGCTGCAGTGTTCTCCACAGTATTTTCAAATAGCACCATTGGATTAGAAATAGCACTGTTTCCCTAAAATTATAGCACCACATTTATAATCTATTCAGAGAGCTGTAAATTTATGTACATTTTTGTATTATCATAGTAACAGTCCATAATAGAATTGTAGATTTCTTTTGGTCTTTTTGTGTCTTTGGGTGGATTTCTCCTTAACACATACCCTGCATCTCTTTTTGTTCATTTTTACTCCTATTAAACTTACGCTTGGCTGCCAGAGAACTTTAACTGCATTGGGTCCTGGTTTCTTCTGGGAAGCTGAAGGCGCTTTAATCTTTGGTTGCATGGAATTTTCAAACAGTTCTAGGAAGTCATCACTGAAAAAAATGAACCATTTTTATTCCTTCTCTTATAATGTGGGCTAAATGCTTTTAATATGTTCTATCGTCACCAAAATTTAAAGTCCCTAACTTCTCTTACCTTACAGATTTCCAAAGTTGCCTTGGCCCCCTTTCTTATGTTACAGATGTCCAATGTTGTCCTGAACTTTTCTGACCTTATAGATGTCCATGTTGTCCTGACTTTTCTGACCATTTAGATGTTCAATGTTTTCCTGAACTTTTCTGACCTTGTAGATGTCCATTGTTGTCCTGAACCTTTTTGATCTTGTAGATGTCCAATGTAGTCCTGTATCTATCAGTGTGTCTGAAAGTATCTTACTTTGCAGATCTCCATTGCATTTCTTACCTCACAGATCTCCCATTTTATTTTCTTACCTCGCAGATCTCCCATTGTATTTTCTTACCTTGCAGATCTCCAATTGTATTTTCTTACCTTACAGATCTCCCATTGTATTTTCTTACCTTACAGATCTCCCATTGTATTTTCTTACCTCGCAGATCTTCCATTGTATTTTCTTACCTCGCAGATCTCCCTTTGTATTTTCTTACCTTGCACATCTCCCATTGTATTTTTCTTACCTTACAAATCTCCCATTGTATTTTCTTACCTTACAGATCTCCCATTGTATTTTCTTACCTTACAGATCTCCCATTGTATTTTCTTACCTCGCAGATCTTCCATTGTATTTTCTTACCTTGCACATCTCCCATTGTTTTTTCTTACCTTGCAGATCTCCCATTGTATTTTCTTACCTTGCAGATCTCCAAATGTATTTTCTTACCTTGCACATCTCCCATTGTATTTTCTTACCTTGCACATCTCCCATTGTATTTTCTTACCTCGCAGATCTCCCTTTGTATTTTTCTTACCTTGCACATCTCCCATTGTATTTTCTTACCTTACTGATCTCCTATGGTATTTTCTTACATTACAGATCTCCCATTGTTTTTTCTTACCTTGCAAATCTCCCATTGTATTTTCTTACCTTGCAGATCTCCCATTGTATTTTCTTACCTTGCAGATCTCCCATTGTACTTTCTTACCTTACAGATCTCCCATTATATTTTCTTACCTTACACATCTCCCATTGTATTTTCTTACCTTACACATCTCCCATTGTATTTTCTTACCTTGCACATCTCCAATTGTATTTTCTTACCTTACAGATCTCCCATTGTATTTTCTTACCTTACTGATCTCCCATTGTATTTTCTTACCTTGCAGATCTCCCATTGTATTTTCTTACCTTGCTGATCCCCCATTGTATTTTCTTACCTTACAGATCTCCCATTATATTTTTCTTACCTTGCAGATCTCCCATGTTGCCTTGAATTTTTCTTACGAGCTGAAGATGCATCACTTCTTTGACTCAAACCATCAACTCCTGTTCAAATATAAAATATGAAATATAAGACAAATTTAAAGATGTGTTAAATGAAGAGTCAAAATGCACAACATTTCTAGACCCAGAATCATGTAAAGTTTGACATATTACATAGGCATGTTGACCTGATATCTAGACCCAGAATGATGTAAAGCTTGACATACTGCATAGGCATGTTGACCTGATATCTAGACCCAGAATGATGTAAAGCTTGACATACTGCATAGGCATGTTGACTTCATATCTAGACCCAGAATGATGTAAAGCTTGACATACTGCATAGGCATGTTGACCTCATATCTAGACCCAGAGTGATTATTACTGATCATCAGGTTCAACAAAGCAACATACTTTGACATGTCATCACCACGGAAGGATGGGTGATTATTTACCAATCATCAGGTTCAACAAATCAACTTACTTTGTCATGTCATCACCACTGACGGATGGGTGATTATTTACCAATCATCAGGTTCAACAATTCAACTTACTTTGACATGTCATCACCACTGACGGATGGGTGATTATTTACCAATCATCAGGTTCAACATATTTTTTTTATGTCTGGGCCTTTTATAGCCGACTATACGGTATGGGTTTTTCTCATTGTTGAAGGCTGTACAGTTGTCTATAATTGCTTACATCCACTTCATTTGAACTTTGGTGGATAGTTGTCTTATTGGCAATCATACCTCATCTCCTTATTTTTATCTTGACATATCACCTCTGATGTATGATTATTAACTGATCATCAGGTTAGACAAACCTTGATACGTCATCACCACTGACGAATGGGTATTTTTTTCTTCTAATTATCAGGTTCAACATACCTCGACATGTCATCACCACTGACAGATGGGTACTGTTGGCAAAATAACCAATACCATGAGATTTATCAGGATCAGCAATTTACAGTAACTCAGAGCTGGTAAGCATCCTAACATTTATTTATCAATTTTAGTTTTTATTAAAAAAATGTGAATCTTTAAAAAGTGTGTAGCTTTATGACCATAAACGTTTTACTAGTGCATGCACATGACATGCATTTTAACTTGTTGATAAAGTCTCACTATATTTTTAAGTAGATTTTAATATTTGTCTATATTTGAATGATTATTACTATTTTCAATTTTTACCATGTAGAGAATTCCTCTTTTTTGTACTGGACTGTGATTTCTGTACATCCTGTCAAAATAAAGTTAATTTTTATCCTTGTACATTTGATATATAAACTGCATATGCTTATAAACAACAGTTAAATAAAACAGATATCACAACTCTGTGGCAATAAAAACAATATTTTCTAGATTAGTTTTCATCATCTAAACTCATCATCTAAAATGCTCCACTATTGAATTAAGTGCCTTTTTTTGGTTTGATTTCTCTGCTTGATGTTCTATCTATCAAAATAAGAGATTGAGTTTTTATAATACCCTACAATCTATCAAGATAACGGATTGAGTTTTTATAATACCCTAGTATAATCTATCAAGATAACGGATTGAGTTTTTATAATACCCTACAATCTATCAAGATAACGGATTGAGTTTTTATAATACCCTACAATACGTTCCTGTGCTATTCCAATGAATGAATCTTGTCTGTCATTGACACTCTCTTCAATAACAAAATATTATGTTGATTTTAGGTCTTTGTTAACACTGATTCTTGTCAATGGTTTGATTCTCATCAATGACAACTTGTCAAGGGTCTGATTCTGGTCAATGACAACTTGTCATGGGTCTGATTCTCATCAATGACAACTTGTCAAGGGTCTGATTCTCGTCAATGACAACTTGTCAAGGGTCTGATTCTCATCAATGACAACTTGTCAAGGGTCTGATTCTTGTCAATGACAACTTGTCAAGGGTCTGATTCTGGTCAATGACAACTTGTCAAGGGTCTGATTCTGGTCAATGACAACTTGTCAAGGGTCTGATTCTGGTCAATGACAACTTGTCAAGGGTCTGATTCTCGTCAATGACAACTTGTCAAGGGTCTGATTCTCTGGTCAATGGCAACTTGTCAAGGGTCTGATTCTTGTCAATGACAACTTGTCAAGGGACTGATTCTGGTCAATGACAACTTGTCAAGGGTCTGATTCTTGTCAATGACAACTTGTCAAGGGTTGGATTCTTGTCAATGACAACTTGTCAAGGGTCTGATTCTGGTCAATGAGAACTTGTCAAGGGTCTGATTCTTGTCAATGAGAACTTGTCAAGGGTCTGATTCTGGTCAATGACAACTTGTCAAGGGTCTGATTCTCTGGTCAATGGCAACTTGTCAAGGGTCTGATTCTTGTCAATGACAACTTGTCAAGGGTCTGATTCACGTCAATGACAACTTGTCAAGGGTCTGATTCACGTCAATGACAACTTGTCAAGGGTCTGATTCTGGTCAATGACAACTTGTCAAGGGTCTGATTCTTGTCAATGACAACTTGTCAAGGGTCTGATTTTGGTCAATGACAACTTGTCATGGATCTGATTCTTGTCAATGACAACTTGTCATGGGTCTGATTCTGGTCAATGACAACTTGTCAAGGGTCTGATTCTTGTCAATGACAATTTGTCAAGGGTCTGATTCTGGTCAATGACAACTTGTCAAGGGTCTGATTCTTGTCAATGACAACTTGTCAAGGGTCTGATTTTGGTCAATGACAACTTGTCATGGATCTGATTCTTGTCAATGACAACTTGTCATGGGTCTGATTCTGGTCAATGACAACTTGTCAAGGGTCTGATTCTTGTCAATGACAACTTGTCAAGGGTCTGATTCTGGTCAATGACAACTTGTCAAGGGTCTGATTTTGGTCAATGACAACTTGTCATGGATCTGATTCTTGTCAATGACAACTTGTCAAGGGTCTGATTCTTGTCAATGACAACTTGTCAAGGGTCTGATTCTGGTCAATGAGAACTTGTCAAGGGTCTGATTCTTGTCAATGAGAACTTGTCAAGGGTCTGATTCTGGTCAACGACAACTTGTCAAGGGTCTGATTCTGGTCAATGACAACTTGTCAAGGGTCTGGTTCACGTCAATGTCAACTTGTCAAGGGTCTGATTCTTGTCTATGACAGCTAGTCAAGGGTCTGATTCTGGTCAATGACAACTTGTCAAGGGTCTGATTCTTGTCAATGACAGCTTGTCAAGGGTCTGATTCTGGTCAATGACAACTTGTCAAGGGTCTGATTCTGGTCAATGACAACTTGTCAAGGATCTGATTCTCGTCAATGACAACTTGTCAAGGGACTGATTCTCTTCAATGACAGCTTGTCAAGGGTCTGATTCTTGTCAATGATACTTTGTCAAGGGTCTGATTCTCGTCAATGACAACTTGTCAAGGGTGATTCTCATCAATGACAACTTGTCAAGGGTGATTCTCATCAATGACAACTTGTCCATGGTCTGATTCTCATCAATGACAGCTTATCATGGATCTGATTCTGGTCAATGACAACTTGTCAAGGGTCTGATTCTCGTCAACTTTCCCCTTTAAATAACCTAATTCTGTCTAGGAACTAGCTTTAGATCAACAAAGTAAGAGAAATTCATCTTTAATCAACTTACCCCTTTAGATTGCCTCACATCAGTCACTGAACTAGGCCGATGTAGATGACGTGATTTTGAACTTGAGGATATCTGAGACCCAGTCAAGCTAAGATTTAAATCTGACTTCTGACTCCTTGAAGTCATGACTGTCAAATCTGTAAGTATAAAAAAATGTTCAGCATGACAAATATTTTAAGATAAATTTAAAACTTAACAAGCAAAAAGCTGGCACTGACAACTGCTGCTCCCCAACTGCACATTATCGAGAGAAAACGTTTTTATTTCAAAGGGTTAATACAAGTATGCTAGGAGGGCCAAATAAACAGGTACAATTATTGCTAATTGTTCATTATTATTAATGTGTTACAATTCATAGTAATAGTAGCATACCATCCCGAAACAAGCATTTTTAAAAAAAAAATATTTTTTAGTAACAGTGACCTTGACCCAGAGATTTGCTAGTGCTTGTCATTTTCATCATTTATGTAATCATTTGCACTTTGAAATAATTTCCCTTGAGGTAATTTTTTTTTTGTACATCAAAATCATATCCCTTTTGGGTGATATCATAATTATATAAGCCATTTGGAAGATAATCCCCAACCTGTACAATTCAATGCAGCGTGCTTACTTTGATACAATTAGATCTGCAGACAGTAGTGCTAACATAAACATAATAAAAAGCAACTTATGTAGACATTACATGCATTGTACAGGGTTCTCACTGTCTGGACTCATCATTTTCAAAACTGGTCCAGAGATGCATCAAGATTGTAAAAATGTTGTATCAACTGAGCACATACATGTATATCATAAGTTAAAAAATAATCTAAATTTGATGTCCTTTTCTTGCTCTATTTTGTCATGAAGACTGAAATAATAAATTTTATAGCAATAACATTCTATCTTCTCACTGTTGGGACTCACCATGGCCAAAAATGACTGATTCATATATTGTGTTCTCTATAAAATTAACAAATTATTAAAAGTATTGTCTCAAATTTTGACAAAGAAATTCAGATAATTGTCTTCCTAGTCCATATTTATAAATAGAAAAAAATAAGTCAGTTATTTCTACACAAGAAAACATTTTGCTGGTAATCTAGTAACATTAAATCAAGTGTGTAATTTAAATAATAATTTAAAAATTGTTAGAAAACAAATATAACAAACTAAGTAAATTTATTAATTTTACAGGTACGAAGACACATTTTTCTTGTTGTATGAATACATATATTCATAATTTAATTATTTACAACTGTGTTTAAAATTATGTGCTTATGTAAGCCCCAGGAAAACAAAAAAATATTTTAATCCAGTTTTCTATATTTAAAGGATCACTGTATTTTTTCAATGTTAAAATATATATATAAATATACGTTATTGTGTCATTTTCTTTTTCTTTTCATTTTATTTATAAATTAAATTGTTACCCAATCATTGTTTTCAATTCTACCTTGCTACCCCAATCATTGTTTTCAATTCTACCTTGTTACCCCAATCATTGTTTTCAATTCTACCAAATTTAACTTGATTGTTCTGCCTATAATGGGCGTCTTTAATTGACAATAAAATATTGAACTTCAACTTGTACTGTCTTTTTATGCACTTTAAAATAAGTACAAGAATCATGCAAATAAAGAAAAAAATGCTTATCAGATCGTCAGTATATCAGATTTAAAAAAAAATTAGAAATTACACTATTTCTAGTACAAAAACATGCATGCAAAAACAATGCAAAAAATTGCAATCATTAAAAATATTGTTGCAGGTAACAAGACTCTTCGGCATCAAGACATTTCGGAACCAAGACAAATCGACATCTCTTTTTTTATCTCTATTTTTTCATTGTATCATTAAAAGTTAAGAAAACTAGATGTGTAGAAACCACATGAATGGCCATGCTCACAAAAAAAAGCTTTAAGCCACAAATTTTCAAATTCCAAAGCCCATTTCGGCAAAATCAGTGGAGTTGAACCAGATGTAAACTCAATCTGTAACTCATCATAGAAGACTCACATACTAAAAATCAGTTCAATAAATGAAGGCGTTTAGAAAAAATTCGTAAGAGGTTCCACTGAACCCTGCGTCTCGTCAGCGATTTTTGGTGTCAGTGTCAAAGAGTAATGTTAACTTTAAAAGTTACAAGCCTTAACTTAAAGCACTGAGAAGCCATATTGAGTAAAAGCCAAGAACATCAAAAAATTGTCAACACTTTAGAATTTCCTATACTTTCACAATGTCAGACGTATGTGAAGTAATAATAAAAATTTTCATTAGACAATTTTTTTAATATTTATAATAATGTAAATGTTAATGACAGTCTGAGTGCACAAAAATGAGAGATAAAAAATACAAAACATTTGCTTCTATGTATACTGACCCTGTGAATAGTATACTGTCAATATACATGATATATTATGTCCAAGACTAACCCATATAATTACACAAAATTTCCAAACAGAAGACATGTATTAAATCTAAGAAAACCTAAATCAGTATCAGGCCACTGTGGCCACAGTATTAGTTGTAAATAATAAGGTCTGAAAGCTTAACAGCGGTATAAACATAGTAGCTTTATGAGGTGCTGATTTGTCTTGATACCAAACTGTCTCTCACTGATACTGAATTGTCCTGGTGCTGATTAGTCTCAGTGAGGAAGAATTCCTTGTTGCACACTAAAACTCCAATGGAGATTTTCAAAAGTTGGCAGGTGTGAGATCTAGGTCCGAGACAACTCAGCCTGGAGACAACTCAGAATGTCTAAAAAAAGACAAATAAGATCGTCTATGAAGAAAATTGGGACTGTCTATGAAGTCAACTCAGACCGTCTATAAAGTCAACATGGACCAAACTCAGACTGTCTATAATGGCAACCCAGACAAAGTAGAAGCCTGAAGAGAAGTCATACCCTCTAAAAAAAAGTTTTGAAGCCCAATTTGACTATGCAAATGACGAAAAATACAACTCGGACTGTCTTTGAAGAGATGTCTATATATAGACAAATCAAGATCACAACTTTTAGACTCCGGACAATTTGTATTGACATGCATCCGTCTATTGTTGAAGATTGAATTTGCTCCCTAGATTTTTTGTTTCTGTTGTTTAAAAGCTTATGAGTAAATAACGTTTGCAATGTTTTTGTAGATTCTATTTTTTATGGCTTGATATATGTTACATCCTCGATTATTTTAAGTATTGTGTTATTACATGTAGTCTAAGCATACTCCAATTTTCAAAATAAAACTTTAACTTTAATATATACATACATACTATTTATTTCATCAAAGAAACAATTTCAAATCAAATAGCATTAGTAACAAGTATGTCATTTACATGTACATAAGAAACATATAATTTGAATAAAACCTAAAGACACACACTAAATCAAAGAAATAAATTTCAAGTCAGGTAACATAAGCATCAAGTTTGGGATTCACATGCAAATGATATTGTCATCATATATAATATTTAATAATTTATATAGTTCAAATCCTCTTCTAATACTTTGTTTGAGTTGTCATAAAGATGATCCAAGTTGACTTTAAATTATACTATCCAAGTTGACTTTATAGATGGTCCGAGCAGTCTTTCAATGTTTTTATATTGGTCAGAAGCTCGAACAAGCTTGTAGTGTCTATACATAATAATTGCTGAATCGAAATAAACTTTTCTTATCTTATCTTATCCCAATTGACTTATTTGTCGGTCTGAGTTGTCCCTCATTGTGAGATCTGTCGTTCTCTCCATACACTCCAGCTTCCTCCACCAGTAAAAACTGCCAACCACTAAATAGCCAATAGCGTTGAAAGTGGCGTTAAACACCATGTCTCTTCTCAGATTTTCTATACAACCTTGAAAAGAATTTACATGCCTCGTTCCCAGAAATGAAAGCAACCTACCCAAATGTCTCTTCTTAAAAAGACATCAACAAAGAGACGTTCATTTCAATTGAAGACTCAGTGACAGTTAGCAGTTCTGTCTGTTCACATTTTTGTGTATTGCCGGAAATAAGATGTAAACAACACATGCGTAGATAAAAGGGAACCAGGCTCTTCCGAAACTTCCATAAATAGTTCCAAATTCTTGGGCGTAAAGTGTTATTTTTTTTTTAACAAAGCAAATATAATATTTCTAATGTATTAATTTCCAAAATTCAGTTTAATCAAAGTGAAAAAGGGCTAAACTGTACTCAAATACAAATACTCTTTATTTTGAATAAAGTCTAACTTTTTTGTTATTTTTTATATCGCACGAATTAAATTATGGATGTATGTTGTTAGGTTCTTCGGGAAGCCATTTTGGATTTTTTGAAAGAATAGAAAGACGAAATAAAAGCAAAAAAGGGTTACCAAAATTTGGTATTTTGGTGCCTTAGTAATTTCGTAGCATGCGTCTGTCATTTCAGATTCAATATTTATAGCTATGGCTGATAGGCGAAAGCTACAAGGTAAGGAAATCGGAACTATTTAGGTCATTAAAAATTCCCCCGAAAGCACCATATTTCTATTCTTTCATTTCACTAAAAATGTCTGCAAAAGATTTAAATGGACATTCGGTACCTGTTGAAAATATTTATCAGCATGTTTCAATCTGTTAGATTATTGTTGATAGCATGCATGATGAATGTTATTATCGTACTTGTTTGTTATTGTCTGTGACCCTATTTTCTAATTTACATCGTATAAGAGTACGCAGTTTCATCAGTTAATTAATTGTCTCAAGGGCATGCCCCTTACTTGTATGGTTGTATTTGAATATTAAGTCAATACATTTGTATTGACATCTGGGAAACTAGTACTTAGACTATTGACACTATTTTAACTGACATCAATTGCTTGTAGATTGACAAACATCAAGTTTTAGTAATAGTATGCATAATCACCCCGATTAAAGTTATAACAAAATGTTTCTGTGGCATTTTGAAATGAAATTTAATAAGCAGAAGTGCAGTTTAAAAGTATCCAATAATTGATATAATTAAGTCCAGTAAATACATCAGAGCTGCGTATTTGCTTGATTACACCATGAATAAAATCAAAAACATAACCATTGACAATTGTAGCATTCAGAAACCAATTCTTGTTGCTGTAGAGTGTATTATCAAAAATTGTCCCAAAATTTATGTATTTTTGTATATTCAGAAAAAAAAACTTCCTTTGTTCTAAAAGTTGAGTGCCCAATCTAAAAACTTATCTGGTTCATGTTACACTTTTGAAATCTCATCCCTTGTTCAAATCTTGTATCCCTAGTAAACAAAAGTGACCAGTTTATTTGCTTGGCCGCGATATGAGTCAGAGAGGAAGAAAGATAGTACAGTTAGTGCCCAAGAAATATATTCAGGAGGAACACCACTAATTAGGTATCCAATTTAGGTTATGATTGATGGATTAATGTCCAAAGATAAATATTCCATGCATGTTCAGGACAGGTACTAGCTATGATTACGTTCAAATCGAAACATGAGCGAAAAATTATTGTTACATTTAAAGGGGCATTAGCTGTCAAATTCATGTTCACTGATTTGACTCAAATTCTCATATTTGATTTATAACATACTTAAACGTATATCCAAATTACAAAAAAGTCTGAAATAAACAATTAACAATGCATGGACTAGATAATATGTATCAACATTTCGTGTGTATTTTTGTCTAGACGCCATCTAATTAACCATCGAGATTACCTCTGAAGACTGCCGACGGTCATATAACCCAATATAAAGATAAATATAAATATAAACAGATAGTGACCACATGCAATTGGATTTTTCCTAGTCTTTTTGATTTCATATTGTAGGTTAAAAAGTATGTTTATCATCATTTTTACCTGTATAAGAATGATTTTTTGTGGATAGAATCAGTCAACCAAATGGTTCATCCTTGTTTCAATTTCAATGTTGACATGCTTTTTCTTTTAAAAGCTGAATACAAGCGTAACCCATGTCCAGCTAAGGGTTAAATTGAAGGTCACATCAATACAGATTTAATGAGGTTGAATTATTCACTTGCAAACTTATTTTGACAAAATTGAACCAAATTGGCTGCTAAAAGGGAATTATTATTTCACTTTTTCACTTTTATTAATGATTGAACAAAAAAAAATAATAATTTAATTTTTTTTTTATATCTCGTAGCTAATGCCACTTTTATACTTATTGCCAGAATGCAAGGACGAGTTGGGAGTAGATTAATTATGGACGTTGATAGTATTTCCTGCAGGATGTTTTGGTGTTGTATGGCGCTTGCCATGCTTTCTTGACGCCCTGTCCTTTTTAGGAAAAAAAATTTGCGCCATGCCCCTTTTTCGTCGTATTTTAGAACGCCCCGCCGTAATTTAATATCGGTTCTGCAATTCATCTTTTAGCAAGACCATTTCTTCATCTTAACATTTTGAGTTGTTTCCCTTGGAATGAAAATCAAAATTTTAATGGCCGACATTTTATTGAATTTTGTAATGTAAAACAGAGTAAAAATATGATTAATGACTGAATCTAATGGGGACAATATCGATTTGTACATGTACCTCTATGAATTTAAAATGTAGACAATTTTAAAGGGAACCAGGCGATCGTTTGAGTTATAATTTTACGATGAATGGGATGAACATAATAAAATTTATCGATGTTTAAAATTGAGAATAATAATGGGGAATATGTCAAAGAGACAACAACCCGACCAAAGAGCAGATAACAGGCGAAGGGCACCAATGGGTCTTCAATGGAGCGAGAAAAATCCCGCACCCGGAGGTGGGCCTCAGCTGACCCCTAAATAAAAGTATGTACTAGTTCAGTGAAAATGGACGTCATACTAAACTCCAAAACATATAAATGAACTAAAATTAAAAAACATACAAGACTAACAAAGGTCAGAGGCTCCTGACTTGGGACAGGCGCAAAAATGCGGCAGGGTTAAACATGTTTTGTGGGATCTCAACCCTCCCCTATACCTCTAGCCAATGTAGAATAAAGAAACACACAGCAATACGCACAGTAAAAAACAGTTTGAAAGAAGTCTGAGTTCGATGTCAGAATAGGTAACAAAAGAAACTAAGGAAAATGACAATGATACATAAATTAACAAAGGACTACTAGCAATGCCAGCTCCAGACCTCAATTAAACTGATCGAAAGATTATGTCTTCATCATATGAAAATCAAGCACAATCCCTCCCGTAAGGGGGTTAGTATCATACCATCATAAAATATATGAGAAGAACATAACCCATATCATGCCAACAACTGGTTTTAGAATAAATGTGTTTATTTCCGATGCAAAGACCTTATCAGTGAATCAATATTAGTACCAAAATATGCCATTCTTAATGACTTGACAACAGTATCGTAACTATATCCCTTCTGAATAAGTCTTAAAGGTTTGGTTAGCTTTTTAGGTGAATGCCGACATTTTTGTGCTTTGTAACGAATATTACCATAAAAGATTGGATGTGAAATACCTGAACGTATAAGATGTCTGCATGTTGATTTATATTTACGATGATGTCCTTGTACCGATGATAAAATTTAGTAAATGTTTTGATTAGTTTGTGATATCGAAAACCCTGGTGTAATAATTTTTCAGTAATACAAAGATTTCTTTCGTTAAAATATTTTTTATATTTCGTTTTTATTTCGTTTGTTTATATTTTCTATTAATACTATTAGGTCTGTCGAGACGTCAGATTGGGTGTGAATTTACGACGGCTTTCATACTTTTGTTACAAATGTATATTAATAAAATTAAAAGTTAAGAATCTAGCTGATATAGTTTTGAATAGTGCAAAAAATCAACAACGTTTAAGAAAAAAACACCAAAAAAAAACCAGATGGAAAAAGATGAAAAGCAGAAGAATATGTATAGTAAGTCTTGCTATACAAATCTTTGAATATTCTAAAACTATTTGTACAGTTATGAGCCAAGGTAGCTTTGATTGGTTTAAACATGCGAGATCCGAAAGGTATTTTGCACTTCTTTTGTACATTAAAAAGCAATGCATTGCATATGCTCTTGGTCATTCAAAGTCCACTTTCACAACACATCCTTAGACACTCAGTCTCAGTGATCCAGTATTAAAGTTTATAACCGGAGTTATTGATTGAAATGAGGCAGTTGCACAAAGAACATCATCAAGATTCTATTAGCTGAGTCTTGAAGTGATAATTTTATTACAAAAAGGAATTAAGTTAACAACCTATTATACATATCTTTATTTCTTACCAATAAATATGAAACAATGGTATATTCCATTAAATCCTTATCTATTACAGTGCCTTTATATCTATGTAAAGATTGCCCTAAGAGTGTAGTCTTCTGCACAAAGGGTGCTCTTAAAGTGTAGCCAATTGCGCTAAGAGTGCCCTCTGAGAAAAAAATTACCCTGCCCTTTTCAAAAGCTGCAGGAAACACTAGTTGAAAATAATATTTGTGTCTACTCTAACACTTAGTCATTTACAATTAAACTTCCTTTTTTCTATTGATTCATTTTCCTCTAAAAAGTGATCACATTACAACCAAAGCATCTTCAAAATTTCCTGTGTAGTAATGTTCTGAGTTCCACATTAAAACTCAAGATTTCCATGTTCTGTAATCAGTTGTTTCTTCTTTTTTAATTCTTCATTACAAATGGAGAGACATGTGGAGTATTGGACTAAAGATGGTTGATGAATTGGTCTTGTACAAATAACTAGCAGCTTTGGATTATTTTAACAATACTTTGCCCCTGGACTTGCCTACTAAAACCCTTAGCAAGAACCCTGATATCTAATATTGATATTGTTGTTAATAGGAGCTATATGAAATAACAGAAAGTCTATAAAAGAAGAAAACCACCACAAACTCCCCCTTTATTGAGCTACGTATATGATTAATGCACAGACTTTTTTGCATATCCCTCTCCAAACGTTGCCTTATTTTGGGTGGAATTCAAACATTTTATATGTAGTCCCTTTGAACTTTATTTTTACAAAGATTTGGTTGTTTGCATATTTATATGTACTACATGTATTGAAACCTAACTAATCAAGTGTTACAAAAGATCATCAATTTAGGAAGTCCAGTAAGCCAAAAAAGACAGTTCAGATCAGAACTATTTGAAAAACTTAACTGTAGACTCATCAAAATCAGCTGGGAGGGACTCTTAAACATCTCTTAGTTGAAAACCAGCAATATTCATTTCTCACTTGTTATGAAACCTATAAATAATTATAAACAAGCCGATCTGTCCTGGTAATGGGTGTGGAATGTCCAGAGTTTCTGTACATTTTGTATGCATACAATTTTTGCCACCAGACATTTAGCACACATCAAAACAAATTATACATACACTGAAAACAATTATTTTGTGAAGTTATTATAATTTCCTTAAGAGCATACAATACAGAACAGATATCCCATTGATTTTGAAGTATTACTCAAAAGAAAATTTTTGTTATGCACTATTGAAATATGCAAAGAAAAATATACCTTCTTGACTTACTTTTCAAGATATTTCACTTTGAAATATGCATGTACCTAATTTCATGTTGCAATACTTTTCCAAAAAAAAATTACAAAACTTTCAACGGAAAGAGATATTTTCACCTTTTTTTGGCTAAGTGTTCCTTAATTTATAGTCCTGTATGGAAGTCCCTAAAATAAAGACAGAATATGATAAACAATTTGTGAAATCATATAAAAATTAGTGTTAAAAAGCTGTCGACACTTTGCATGCTAAAACAAATATATAAAGAAACAATTTTAAAGTTGATTTTTGCTTGCAATTTCGATAGAACTTTCTTGAAGTAGCTATATATGTAGTACATAGTTGATTGTAAAAGAAAAAAATGGGGGTCTTTGTGTTATTTTAAAGCTAGAAATAGAAAAACCTTATTTTTTTTTGCCAAAATATTTGAAAATCCAAAACTTATTAAAGAAATTAAAAGCTTCAAACCAAAGGGGTATAGCCAAAGCCTAGTTAAGAATCAGAGCATTTTTATTGTAAGATAATGCATACAACTATTTTGAACTTGCACTGAAAATTGAAAAAAAAAATCATTTAATTTTCTTTCTTTTTTTTAAATCTCTATATATCATGTATATATATACATGCAAGGTTCAAACAGATCTACTCTTAACATATTTAGGTTGATTTTCTTTCATTTTATATATACATGCAATATATATACAAATATTCACCTATATAAAGAATGTGCTATCTATTTTGGAAAATTAGAGTAAATTGTATTATCTTTTCAATTTGTATTTTGTATGCAAAATCATCTTTAAAAAACATGACCAATAGTATCCCTATTAAATTTGGAACTTTCATTTGTGTAGTGAAAAATAATTTTTTTTCTGTTTTCAGGAGAAATAGATAGATGTCTTAAAAAAGTAACAGAAGGTGTGGAGTCATTTGAAGATATTTGGCAAAAGGTATTTTTATATTGAAATGATGGTTTTAGATATGGATACACAATGTTTCCATATATTAATGTTTAAATTTATTAGTTAACCTATATAAATATAGATCTGAGACTCATATTATTAATTTAAGGTATTGGTCCAGCAATTCTTATTAGACAAGAATTCGCCTGGAAAAATCTGATCAGTTTTCTCAGTAAGATTTTTATATTCCTGCATCTCTGCTAAGCACATGCCAGTTAGGATAAAAACTGGTGGGATTAATGTGTCCTAGGATGCTTTGTATTCCAGCTTATTTTTACATTGTAAGCAAACACATTTTAAATCTGTTAGTGTGTTGGTATAGTACAAAGCAGGGTATACTCAGATCTAATTAGCACAATATTGTCCTGAAAGTGCATGTAATATTTGCCACTGAAAAGTTAGGTGTCATCATTCAATAAAAAAAAAAGCAAAATTGCCATTGCTAGCACATTTGAGAAATATTGTGGCTAACAAAATAGATATATGGCTTTGAAATCCCCCATTAAGATTTTCTCCTATTTGGTAGAATTGTATGACATTTGTAATCTCTACCTATAGATAACCAGTTAGTTTATTTTATTTGTAGGTTCATAGTGCTGCCAATGCAAATCAAAAAGAAAAGTATGAAGCTGATCTTAAAAGAGAAATTAAAAAACTTCAGGTATAAAACAACTTTATTATTTTTATACAACCGCAAAAAAATTTTTGTGGTCGTATATTGGTATGACGGCGGCGTCGTCGTCCGAAGACACATTAGTTTTCGCACTCTAACTTAAGTTTAAGTGAATGGATCTCAATGAAATTTTACCATAAGGTTCAATACCACAAAAGGAAGGTGGGGATTGATTTTGGGGGTTATGGTACCAACAGTTAAGGAAAAAGGGGCCAAAAATAAGCATTTTTGTAACTTCCAGACATAACTTGTGTGTAAGTGTATGGATCTCTCTGACATTGTACCACAAGGTTCCATATCACAAAGGGAATGCTGGGATTGATTTTGGTGGTAATTGCCTCCAAATTTTAGGAATTAGGGGCCAAAAAGGGGCAAAAAACAAGCATTTTTCTAGTTTCATGACAATAACTTGTGTGTAAGTGTATGAATCTCTCTGACATTGTATCACAAGGTTCCATATCACAAAAGGAATGCTGGGATTGATTTTGGGTGTAATTGCCTCCAAATTTTAGGAATTAGGGGCCAAAAAAACAAGCATTTTTCTAGTTTCATGACAATAACTTGTGTGTAAGTGTATGGATCTTTATGAAATTGTACTACAAGGTTCCATATCACAAAGGGAAAGCTGGAATTGAGTTTGGGGTAATTGCCCAAAAAGTTGAGGAATAAGGGGCCAAAAAATAAGCATTTTTATACGACCGCAAAAAAATTTTGAGGTCGTATATTGGTATGACGTTGGCATCGTCGTCGTCGTCGTCGTCGTCGTCCGGCGTCGTCGTCGTCCGGCGTCGTCGTCCGAATACACAATGGTTTTCGCACTCTAACTTTAGTTTAAGTGAATGGATCTCTATGAAATTTTACCATAAGGTTCAATACCACAATAGGAAGGTGGGGATTGATTTTGGGGGTTATGGTACCAACAGTTAAGGAATTAGGGGCCAAAAAGGGGCCGAAAATAAGCATTTTTGTAACTTCCAGACATAACTTGTGTGTTAGCATATGGATCTCTTTGACATTGTACCACAAGATTCCATATCACAAAGGGTCAATGCTGGGATTGATTTTGGGGTTAATTGCCTCAAAATTTTAGGAATAAGGGGCCAAAAGGGGGCAAAAAACAAGCATTTTTCTAGTTTCATGACAATAACTTGTGTGTAAGTGTATGGATCTTTCTGAAATTTTACTACAAGGTTCCATTTCACAAAGGGAAAGCTGGAATTGAGTGTTGTGGTAATTGCCCAAAACGTTTAGTAATAAGGGGCCTAAAAAGGGGTTTAAAATTAGCATTTTTTAGTTTCTAGACAATAACTTGTGTTCAAGTGTATGGATCTCTCTAAAATTGTATTACAAGGTACCATACCACAAAGGCAAGGCTGTTATTGAGCTTGGTTTGGGGGGAAAGGGGGGTGGGGGTGATGAATCATAAGGGGGGCGGGGGTCAAAGAAGGGGGGGTTGGTTATGGCTCTAATGTTTAAGGAATAAGGGGAAAAAAGGTTAAAAAACAAGGGTTTCCATTTTAATAGACAAATAATTGAGTAAAGAACATTATTTAAAAGCAGTGTAAGGTTGGTAATTCAAACTCATTTAAATATCTCATCTACACTGCTTTTAAATTATGTAAATTGGAAATTTGCCAATAACTTTATTGTTAATAAATGCATTGGAAATTTGCCAACAATTTTAGTGTAATAAACTTCATTGGAAATTTGCCAATATAAAATTTTGCTGATGAAGGTTTTTTGTTTACCTTTAGCCTTGACTATGAAGTCATTTTCTATTTTTATAGCCTTATGATGTAGTTGAATTATTTAATACTTTTATGATGTGTTTAAATGGGGTTTTATCATGTTATGGTTGCAAATTTATTGTTTTAGTATAATAAACTCCATTTAAAATTTGCCAATAAAAAAAAATTTTGTTTATTTTTAGCTATGATTATGATGTCATTTTCTATTTTACTTTTATGGTTGCAAAGAAATTTTTATTTTTAGATATTACTGTTAAATGATGCTGATTAAGGTTTTTGCTATGTTTAGCCATGACTATGATGTCATTTTCTATTTTAATATCTGTTATGATGTATTTAAATGGGCTTTTATGGTTACAAAGGAATTTTATTTTTAGATATTACTATAAAATGTTGCTGATGCTGATTAAGGATTTTGTTTATTTTTAACCATGACTATGATGTCATTTTCTATTTTAATACCTTTATGATGTAATTTCCATTTTTAGATATTGCTGTTAAATGATGCTGATTAAGGGTTTTTTGCTATGTTTAGCCATGACTATGATGTCATTTTCTATTTTAATATCTTTATGATGTATTTAAATGGGCTTTTATGGTTACAAAGGAGTTTTATTTTTAGATATTACTTTAAATGTTGCTGATTAAGGATTTTTGTTTATTTTTAGCCATGACTATGATGTCACTTTCTATTTTAATACCTTTATGATGTATTTAAATGGGCTCCCATGTATTTAGATTTTTGATTATTTATACATGTTACCAAATTGGTCCACATTGAACAAAAACGGTCCAAATTTCAACTTTATTACATTACATCAAACATTGAATTCTACATATTCTTTGATATATTGAAATTAACAAACAATTTAGTTTATGGATATTCCACCATAATAGGTAAATTAAATTTTTTCCAGTTCTTACACCACATTCATCCTGTGTCAGAAACCTATGCTGTGTCAAATATTTAATGACAATCCAAAGTCATAGCTGTATCAAGCTTGAATTTTGTGTCCATACTTGCCCCAACTGTTCAGGGTTCGACCTCTGCGGTCGTATCAAGCTGCGCCCCAGCGAAGCATTTTATTCTAGTTGTAACTTCTAAACATAACTTGTGTGTTAGTGTATGGATCTCTCTGACATTGTACCACAAGGTTCCATATCACAAAGGAAATGCTGTGATTGATTTTGGGGGTAATTGCCTCCAAATTTTAGGAATTAGGGGCTTAAAAAGGGGCAAAAAACAAGCATTTTTCTAGTTTCCAGACAATAACTTGTGTTCAGGTGTATGGATCTCTCTGAAATTGTACTGCAAGGTACCATACCACAAAGGGAAGGCTGGGATTGATTTTGGGGGGTAATTCCCTCAAAATTTTAGGAATTAGGGGCCAAAAAGGGGCAAAAAAACAAGCATTTTTCTAGTTTCAGGACAATAACTTGTGTGTAAGTGTATGGATCTTTATGAAATTGTACTACAAGGTTCCATATCACAAAGGGAAAGCTGGAATTGAGTTTGGGGGTAACTGACCAAAACGTTTAGGAATAAGGGGCCAAAAATAAGAATTTTTCTAGTTTCCAGACAATAACTTGTGTTCAATTGTATGGATCTCTCTGAAATTGTACTGCAAGGTATCATACCAAAAAGGGAAGGCTGGTATGGAGTTTGGGGGTGATGAATCATAAGGGGGTCCTTAAAATTTGGGGGGGATTTTTTTTCCTATTTCTTTTCTTTAAAAAAATCCATGTGTATAAATTGGTTATTTCTGATTTATATATAAAAGCAAATAATAATGATATGGTTTGAATAGGTAAATTAAAAGTTTTAAGTTCTTAGACCACATTCATTCTGTGTCAGAAACCTATGCTGTGTCAAATATTTAATTACAATTCAAATTCAGTGCTGTATCAAGCTTGAATGTTGTGTCCATACTTGCCCCAACTGTTCAGGGTTTCGACCTCTGCGGTCGTATCAAGCTGCACCCCAGCGGAGCATTTTATTAAGATTATAAAGAGACCAGTAAATGTTTCCCCATTTAGGTGCTTCAATAAAAGATTTTGTTTTGCTCATTTGTCTGGTTGACATAATTTTATTGGGTTAAAGATTGCATTTCAAAACCCTATGATACTTCCCAGGTTAGCACTATCTTTGATAGTTCAAACAAAATAGTGCAGTAAAGTGATCATTATTTAGATCCTATCAAGCCAATGTCATTCAATTTATTGATGATACATTAAACTTTGATATTTAAGTTACAATATGATGTGTACTTGAATAACCATACTTGTCAAGTAAACATTTTTTTAATAAAAAAAAATGACATAAGTAATGCATGGGGTATGAATTTGTTATAAAAATAGGTTCAACGACAATCATCAACAAAGGAAGATAACTCCAACTTTAATTTTTTACTTCCCTAGCAAAATATAATTCAATGTTTTATATAAAAATACACAAAATTGCAAAATGTAAGCAATCTTTACCCTTCGGTGTTCACAAGCACTTTGATTTGTAAATATTTTTTAAGAGATTGTGGAAGTACGTCAATATTGTTTTATATACATCTGTGTTATTGTTTACCAGGGTCTGTGGGACCATTATATATACATGTTTGTGTTATTATTTACCATAGTCTGCAGAACCATTATATATACATGTTTGTGCTATTATTTACCAGCGTCTGCGGGACCATATCAAGACGTGGTGTTCAAGTAGTGACATTAAAGATAAAAGAATTTTGGTGGAAAACAGAAAGTTGATAGAAACTGTAAGGAACTATATGAATTGTAAAAACTATCTTATTCATGGATTTGTTTAAATGAAGCATTAAATTGTATTATATAGTACTGTCAAGTTTTAAACATTTGAATTTAAAAAAAAAACATGGATGTAATATCTTCTGCTTTCAATGAGAATTGACACTTACTAGAAAAATTCACAAGTTATGGACATCTCAAATTGCACCAAAAAGGGGTTGGCAATGGCATCTATGCAAGTTCTATGAAATTGAATTTACTCTCTTATGTAAAAACTATTTGCACAAGTACTGTGAAACTGATTCAACTGACTCAAGTTACAAGCTGTTTTGCACAACAAGTACTGTGAAATTGAATTAACAGCCTAATGTTGTTAGCTGTTTGGAAAACAAGTACTGTGGAATTTAATTAACTGATAATTGTTAATAATTGGTGAAAGAAATGTAACCTTAGAAAATTTATGCTTCAAAAATTAGGGTTTAATACATTTTGGGTAAAGATTGCATGAATGCAATTAAACCCTATGGTACTGACTTGATATCTACATCTTCCAATTGCAAAATGAAAGCAATCTTTACCCTTCAGTGCTCACAAGTACATTGATTGTATTTTGGTGTAACTAGATTCCAGTTTCATTGATACTTCTGTTATATCTTTGCAGCAAATGGAGAGATTTAAAATCGTAGAACGAGAAACCAAAACAAAAGCTTACTCCAAAGAAGGACTTGGAGCAGCTGCCAAAATGGACCCTCATTCTAAGGAAAAGGGAGATGTAACAAATTGGTTATCCGTAAGTATTTAAGACTTTGAAAAATACACATTTGATCTGTATGTAATTTTCTTATCTTGTACATTCAATGCTCCTGTAAACAAAATAAAATTTCGATGATATACCATGTGTGTTTGAATATCAAATAGTTGTCATGGGTGATAGCCCGTGCTTACCAAATGATATCTGTATTACAGCAAACAATAGAGAATCTGAATTTACAGTTAGAACAGTTCGAAAGCAGGATAGAACAGTTGACCACCAAGAAAAAGAAGATGGACAAAGATGTAAGAAAAACTGGTGATCTTAATAGATTAATAATTTCAATTATTGTGAATTAAAAAACCCATTTTGACCTTTAAATGAGACAGTTGATAATAGATATATAACCTGTATTAAAGTAAAGACTTAACACCACAAGACAAACTTACAAATATCTGATTATGTTGGAGTGTTTTACATTATCATATAGGGGGAAAACTCAACAATTTCCATGTTATTTTTCTTAACCTATAAATAAAACAGAGCGGACACAGAGGCTTGCCTACTCGACAGAAATAACTTAACTTGGAAAATTGTGATCCACTGTCGTAAGAAATATTTTGCAATATCAACAGCCCCTGTTAGAGATTTCTGTAGAATTTATAAACATTTAAAAACAACAATGTATCCTCCATACTGCAAGAGTATTTTTTATACAGCCACAAATATAATGCATAAAATTTGCTATGTCTGGATTTATTGATAAATGACAAGGTTAATATAGTATGGACAATTAAGTGCAGAAGGGTAACCTGTGCTGTCACTATGATGTCATGGTGGAAATTGACATATATGACCTTTTTATAGATATATTCCAAGGGTTTACCCAAAAGGATATTTTATACACATTAACCCCTTTGAAAAATACATCTTGCAACAGAATATCTTTTTGTGTAAAGCCTTGGATCATATCTAAAAAATACATCTTGCAGCAGAATATCTTTTTGTGTAAAGACTTGGATAATATCTAAAAAGTACATCTTGCAGCAGAATATCTTTTTGTGTAAAGCCTTGGATCATATCTAAAAAGTACATCTTGCAACAGAATATCTTTTTGTGTAAAGCCTTGGATCATATCTAAAAGGTACATCTTGCAGCAGAATATCTTTTTGGGTAAAGACTTATACATCTTGCAGCAGAATATCTTTTTGGGTAAAGCCTTGGGTCATATCTAAAAAATACATCTTGCAGCAGAATATCTTTTTGGGTAAAGCCTTAAATCATATCTAAATATTATAAACAGTTTTTGCCGTTTTGCACTTAATTCAAGAAGATTGAATCCCTGATGCAAATATTTCAGACAAAATTAGAAATATAATGTTGATGTCTGACACACTAATGTTATGTCTTAAATAAATCCAAAGGATGTTATTTGGTAGATTTATATTAAAATCATTTTGTTTTTCAAATTCAAGGGACCAAAAAGTGGCCTAATAATACCTTATTCTTATACTTTTATTTGTTATTACTTGTTTTCATTCAGAAACAAGACATATTTGAAGAATTAAAAGCTCAACAAGATAAACATTTGTTTCATATAAAACAGTTGGAAACCATCATGAGAATGGTGGACAATGATGCTTTACCTATTGAACAGGTATGGAAGGTATTGATATATTATATAGAAAAGAAAATGTGGTATAATTGCCAATGAGACAACTATCCAACAGAGATCAAAATTATGTATATGCTAGCAACCATAGGTCACCGTACAGCCTTCAACAATGAGCAAAATCAATACTGCATAGCAAGCTAGTAGAGGCCCCAACATAACAATATGTAAGACTATTCAAGTGAGAAAATCACGGCCTGATTAAAGATTGAAACAACAAACAAAAAAAACAAATATAATATACAGTTACAAAAGACTACTGGGTTACAGGCCACTAACTTAGGACCTACATATAATAGCAGGGTTAAACATATTTGTGGATGCCCAACCCTCCCCTAGCTTTGGATAGTGATGTAAGAGCACAACATAAGAACAAACTATAAAAATCAGTTAAAAAGGGCTGGACTTGATCAGATCATGTCTGAGTACTTATTCTCATTTGCGATTGTTTGTTTACTTTCAGTTTTCACGAAGTTATTTGCATTTAACATTTACTTGATCAGTTAATTTAAATGAAAAAAATTCAGGGCTTCTTGTTGTTAAACCTTGTTCATTAATTGATTTTCTGTTTGCCAAATTCTCCAAACCAAGGAATTCATAAGTCTACTTCTTAGATCTTGATCATTCATTACAATATAGGTCACACAATATAAGTTTTGACATCACAGATTTAGGTTTAATGATGTTCACTACCCTTGATGGAGCGAACATCCTTAATGTCTTGTGACAATTAGATTTTATTTCATACCTGCTCTTTTATTATTATATTGAAATTAAGTAACGTGGTTAGAGAAGGTTTTTCTAGGATTTGTATAGTAGAAAAGCTCTATTCGCAATGATGTTGATTGTAAACTTCCATTTTCTGATCAAGAAAATCCAAAATGATGTTAAATTTGATGAAAATTGTCATTTATAGATCAAGAAAATCAAAGATTATGTTAAATTTGATGAAAATTGTCATTTATAGATCAAGAAAATCAAAGATTATGTTAAATTTGATGAAAATTGTCATTTATAGATCAAGAAAATCAAAGAGTATGTTAAATTTGATGAAAATTGTCATTTATAGATCAAGAAAATCAAAGATGATGTTGAGTATTATGTTGATTGTAATCAGGATCCTGATTTTGAAGAAAATGATTTCATATATGATGAGTTAGATCTTGAAGACTTGGGTAAGTAGGAGTAGGAAGTGTTTAGAAAATCACTCGAAAGAAAGTATCTATTTACAATGTATCAACATTATTGTCAATTATCTAACAGTTAACAAATCTTAATCTTGAGAGAAGCAGTCCCATTTGGACTGTAGGGAACTAAATTAACAGCTTTCTTTTTTATTTTAAAAGAATGTGGAATTTCATTTAATGTAAATATAATTTCTATCTTTCAAATGTATTGAGTTAAATGTTTTTATTTACAGGTGCAGCTGTTTTAGCATCCTCGCCACCAAATGATGACCATTATTCGGACAACATTTCAGGCACTCCAACATCAACAAACTCAAGTTCTCCTTCACCTAGTCCTAGTCTATCTATAAATCATTCCAAGGTAAACTCTCTAGCCAATCAAATCATTCAAAGGTAAGCTCTCTTAGAAATCTAAATATGACAAGGTAAGCCGTCCTACTGGTCAATCTAGAATCATTCCAAGGTAAACTCTCTAACCAATCAACATCAACTAACTCAAGTTTTCCTTCACCTAGTCCTAGTCTATCTATAAATTATTCCAAGGTCAACTGTCTAACCAATCTAATCATTCAAAGGTAAGCCCTCTTAGAAATCTAACTATGACAAGGTAAGCCCTCCTACTGGTCAAACTAGAATCATTCCAAGGTAAACTCTCTAACCAATCAACATCATTCAAAAGTAAACTCCCTGACCAATTCATTATCATTCCAATGTAAGTTTCTTTTCCAATCTGTAATCATTCCATGGTATGTTCCAAAACAAATGTATACTCTTTAATGTTATCTCCCTTACCAATGTTTATCATTCCAGGGTAAGCTCCCTTACCAATGTTTAATTATTCCATAGTAAGCTCCCTTACCAATATTTTATCATTCAATAGTAAGCTACCTTACCGATGTTTAACATTCCAGGGTAAGCTTCCTTACCGATATTTAATCATTCCATAGTAAGCTACCTTACCAATGTTTAATCATTCCATGGTAAGCTACCATATTGATGTTTAATCATTCCAGGGTAAGCTACCTTACCGATGTTTAACATTCCAGGGTAAGCTTCCTTACCGATATTTAATCATTCCAGGGTAAGCTACCTTACCAATGTTGAATCATTCCAGGGTAAGCTACCATATCGATGTTTAATCATTCCAGGATAAGCTCCCTTCCAATCTATAATCATTCCAAGGAAGAAGGACCCCTTACTAATCTTTAATCATTCCATAGTAAGCTACCTTACCAATGTTTAATCATTCCAGGGTAAGCTCCCTTACCGATTTTTATTCATTCCATAGTTAGCTACCTTACCGATGTTTAATCATTCCAGGGTAAGCGCCCTTCCAATTTTTCAACTTTCAAAGAAGAAGGTTGCCTTATTAATCTATAATCAGTTAATTAGTTGAAATGTGTGTTTGCATTAATTACTTTAAAAAAAACCCAGTCACACACACACACACAGAAACCTCTTTTAGCTAACAAGCTAAAATACTGATTGGTAGATGAGTGGAAATATTTAGTTCCAAGTTAAAGTCATATGATACTTCAAATTTAAAAAAAAAGGATATGTTTTATATACTTTGACAGCTAAGTTTTACTATTAAAGGTGTATATGGACTTTCTTGTAAAAGCAAATCCTTTATATTATTGAAATCTTCAGAAATGTACTGCTATTGAATTATTGTCTTCACGTACTCCAATTCACCGATCTCTTATCCGTATACAGTGACCTTATCCACAAGACTGTTCTTAAGGACTTCGACATCTACACAATGCAAGTGCGAGGGGGAAAAGTTATAAAAGAATTGGACTTTTGAATTTCTTTGTTAAAAGACCCTCAGATTGGAAATTTAAAAACTTTGTTAAACAAAGTTTTTAAATTTCCAGAAAATCATAAACTCCATTTTTACTCAACAAACTCATTTAATGTCTTAAATGTAGTTTTCTTACATATCTATAGGTCTTTATGATGAGAAATCAGTATGTCATATATATCATGTAATTTTCTTATTTGTAAGGGATTTAGATCAAAATAAAACTAATTTTGAATAATCCTTGTATATTAATTCAAAGTTCCCCCTTTTTTGTAGGACAATGAAGAAAATGACAGGAAAATTAAAAAGTCAATCAATGATGAGGTGAGAAGATCATAAGGTTACCTTACACGTTTTATACTTAGTTAATTGCTCTGTTAGGAAGTAAGTATACTGGATATAATTCATAGAATACTATTTCCCCATCAACAAAATAAGAAGTGCAGCATTTAGGAGTAAGAGTAAAGACTTGGAGTCTAAAAAATGTGACATGTCTATCTGCAGACTGTAACGTTATGAACTAGCAAAATCTGGATAAGCGTGTTCCAGTGTCAAAAAGTGTATATGATATTGAATTAATATTTTATCCTGACTATGTATGAGTTATTGCTGTTATATGTTGTACACCCTGGGGTGTTAAGCAGCCATCAATCAGTCAAAAACATGTACAAAGGAGTAGGGCATTAAGACCTGCGGCTCTTTTCACAAAAAATCTTAAGAGTAAAAATACTCGTAAGTCATACACATTTCAGTATAACTTACGATCAATATTAATCGTAAGATTTTTTGTGAAAAGAGTCGCTGGTCTTGGACTAAGAAAATAAAGTTTTCAAGAACTATTTCAAATTTGCACATATTATTTGGAAATTAATAAAATGAAGAAATATCAATGAATTGCATCAGATTTTTGATGTCATCACAGTTACGTCATTTTGTGCACTGTTTTCATGAAATAGAGAAAACTGCAGTTTTCCATCGTTATTTCCATTTGTGGAAACATTATCCACAGCCAAGAATCAACAAAGTAATTTGAGAAGTTTTATTTTAATTATTGACATTCTCACCAAATATAAAGTTGTTTCTTGGGAGCACACATACTTCTCCAATCAAAGGTATACTTAAAAATTGATGTAAATCAAGGAAAATCAAGAAATTTTGCAATATGTACCAATTTTGTCATGGCATGTTGCCATGTTAACTCGTTGAATGTGATTTTATTTTAATTTTCTGAACACCTTGTATCTTAGTGAAGTCGGGACAAATTTTTCAAATATGTATGGTAACTTTTCAATTTGCTCTATGATTCTGACGTAATAAGGACCTTATTGCCCATTCTCCATTCTGATATTGGATTGATGAGAAAGTTTATGTATTTGTATTCCACCTTTTTTGTAGTTATGCATGCCAAATATTGATATTCATCAGTTTATATTTACCAAAGTTTTCTCCCTTGCAAATTGAGAAATGACAATTTGACATTGCTATTGTTCACCAATTTTGCAGTTTTCTTTTAATTGCAACAAAACTTAATTACTTTCCACTACCAGGCTATGCTTGTTTGTATATATATATAACATCATAATAGGTTCCCTTTGGATTCAGTTTTCTGAATTTGTATCATTATACAATATATATAATTGTATTGAATGGTCAGTATGGATAGGTTCCCTTTGGATTGAGTTTTCTGAATTTGTATCATTATACAATATATATAATTGTATTGAATGGTCAGTATGGATAGGTTCCCTTTGGATTGAGTTTTCTGAATTTGTATCATTATACAATATATATAATTGTATTGTTAGGTCAGTATGGATAGGTTCCCTTTGGATTGAGTTTTCCGAATTTGTATCATTATACAATATATATAATTGTATTGTTAGGTCAGTATGGATAGGTTCCCTTTGGATTGAGTTTTCTGAATTTGTATCATTATACAATATATATAATTGTATTGAATGGTCAGTATGGATAGGTTCCCTTTGGATTGAGTTTTCTGAATATGTATCATTATACAATATATATAATTGTATTGTTAGGTCAATATGGATAGGTTCCCTTTGGATTCAGTTTTCTGAATTTGTATCATTATACAATATATATAATTGTATTGAATGGTCAGTATGGATAGGTTCCCTTTGGATTGAGTTTTCTGAATTTGTATCATTATACAATATATATAATTGTATTGTTAGGTCAGTATGGATAGGTTCCCTTTGGATTGAGTTTTCTGAATTTGTATCATTATACAATATATATAATTGTATTGTTAGGTCAATATGGATAAATGACTGAGTAGTAAATTTGAGTTGTTACCAAATCATTAGCAGTGGAGAACTTGTCATGATGATTCACTTTATATCAGCACCAGTGATTTCTATGGGAATTATATTTATATGTAGTTTGTTAGGAGATACTAAAGAAGTGGTTGAATTTTTTTTTTTTACACATGGTCATTTGTCGCACTTTCAGATACAAATTAACTTTGTTTTATATTTGTTTTTCAGAAAAATAAATCAATTCCATTGATATCATCGCCAACGTCAACAAACTCCACATCATCTAATACATCCAGTAACCATGGTAACAATAACAAAGTAGTGACCACGCCTTCAAAATTGTTTACAGGGTAAATAGTATAAAAAATTTGATCTAGCAGAGAGTTCCAAGAATACACACATTATGCATGTTATGAAAGAAGAGAAAACTATTGACTCTACAGTCAAAAGTTATTTACAAATGAAAAATATTATCAAATATAAGAAGACAATTACATTGTCAGTGTTATTTACATAGTGGAAAATGGAAGCAAAGGAAAAAAAATGGTTCAATAAATGTAAATATTTTATATCACTATAAAGTTTCATTTCAACCAGGAATTCTGAAATTGGTAGTACAAATATATTAAAAAAATTAATACAAAACTGATTGTTAAGACTTGAGTATTGTATCGTAGGTGTGTGTATATTATATGTTTCATAAAATGTTTGCATTTGTGTGTGTATTAAGTGATATGTTTTATTTTGATCAGGATTTCTCTAAATGACAGTACAAACAGCAATCATCGCCAAGTTACTCCACCACCTTTAATAACAAACTCAACGACGATACAGCCAAGTATGACAGGTAAATCAGCCAAACTTGGTTTAACTTAGTCCTCCTCTTTCACTTAAACCCCTAGGAGTTGTATAATTAGTCACTTCAGTCCATACCTACACTCCTCTCTCACTTAAACCCCTAGGAGTTGTATAATTAGTCACTTCAGTCCATACCTACACTCCTCTCTCACTTAAACCCCTAGGAGTTGTATAATGTCTAGATTATTCACAACAAGAATAAGGTGTGTCAGGTATGAGGAAGTAAATCGTACATTTAAAGTTATGGTATAAATATAAGTTCAACTGAGCCATCCCTGTGCACATGTACAAAAGTTGTTTCAGCTTTCAACTTTAAAATCCCTTGCAGTGTAGGGGTGAATAAGTGGTGCATCAGAAAATGTATGCCTCCTGTGGTTATGAATTATGTTTAAATTGAATAATCAATGACAATTTACTGGTATATAACAGCACGGCCCTTTGTTATTTACTGTTCAGAAAAGTGTGAGTGCAACCTGAGTTTCAAGAGTTCATTACTCATTTACATTCTTCCAGTTCAGTGACTTGAATTCCTGAATGAGGATATTTATTTATTTATTAATGGATTACTCAGGGTTTGGCTTTGTAATTGTGCTCAGAAATGGGAGACAGTGGCCTCTTGTTAAATCTTAAGAAAAACTGTAAGAAATTTTACAAAGAAATTTCATTGAATTCTTTTGTTTGGGAATGTCTTCATTCTTTCAAAACATAAATAAATCCACCTTGTATGTTTTTATATAAAATCTTTCTTTTAACTACACTTGTATGTTTTAGGTCTTTCTTTTCCACGACTTTCTTCTGTGTGGCAGCGTAACTCAGCTGTCATCAAGCTTTTGCCTTTTCATGACCTAAATTATAAATCTGGTAAGACAGCAATATTTCTTACCCATTTTTCTTATGCTGCTATTAAATGGTCATTGGGTACTAAGAGCAATGTATCTCAGTTGTTAAATGTGTTGTACTATAGAAAATACTAAGTAGATCATTTCTTTTTTCATTATTTTTTATAACTTTAAATAACTTGAAATAATTTCGAACCAGCATATTTTTTAATGAAATGAGCTTAATCTGTAACCTCCCTGGTAATTTGGTTAATTTAATATTTAAGATGAATTTCTTGTTTTCAATCATTCTTTTATTCCCCTTCATACTTTCTTTACAGTTAATTTGGTGTTAACAAGCTTTTCATAAATGGCATAGTAAATTAAGATGGTTTTTAAATGGGAATTCTGTCAGTTATCAAGCATCTTTTTTCTTTTAAAGTAACAACAAAATAACTATCATGACTATATGAAAAGAAATTTCATTTTGAATTAGTATTCATTAGATTTTACATGTGGATAGATATAATGTTTGTTATTGTCTGTCCACCTCTTCAGACAACTTTGTTTCTTGGCAGGTAAAGAATGACATTTTCCAGTCAGTTATAGTTACATTGACATTAAGGCAGTTCTCATACAAGCCGGTCAAAGTTTTTCATCATTGAAAATGAAATATGTTCTGGAGTAGAAACCACATATATATATTATGTTTTGGTCTTAAGTTCAAAACATGTAATAGAATAGTTACTTCTGAAATTTTGTAATATGAGAATTCTTCAAAATCAGTGAATGGTTTGTTTTATCCAATTACTAAAATCTCAGAATGTGAGACATATGGATTCTAATCTGGCGGCAGCTAAATTATTTGTATAAAGCTGTATTTTTCATACCTTGTAAATAGATGCCATATGTTACAAAGATTCAGTCTGTCATATGTCCATTGTATTTGAATTCATTTTCATGGTTCAGTAACTGTTTCAAAAATTGTATAGTTAGTCATGTGACTTTCTCACTTATTATGCCCCCACCGTAGCGAAGGGGGCATTAAGTTTTACCCTTGTCCGTATGTACTTCCCGAAATTGGTTTCAGTTCTTTAACTTAAGTTTGCCTCAACCAAATGTTATGAAACTTATACACAATGCTTATTATCACAAAACACAGATCAAGTTTGAATTTTGGTGGTGTCACTTATATATACTGTTTTAGAGTTATGCTCCTTTACATATGGAAACATTGCTGAATTTTAAGTTTCCGTTCACTAACTTAAGTTTGCCTCAACCAAATGTTATGAAACTTATACACAATGCTTATTACCACAAAACAAATCAGGTTTGAATTTTGGTGGTGTCACTTTTACCATTCTAGAGTTATGCCACTTTACAAATGGAAAAATTGCTGAATTTTTCTTTTCCATTCTCTAAAGTTTGCCTCAACAAAATGTTATGAATCTTATACACAATGCTTATTACCACAATAAATGGACCAGTTTTGAATTTTGGTGGCGTCACTTTTACCTTTCTAGAGTTATGCCCTTTACAAATGGAAAAATAGCTGAATTTTTTGTTTCCGTTCTCTAACTTAAGTTTGCATCAACCAAATGTTATGAAACTTATACACAATACTTATTACCACAAAACTCAGATCAAGTACGAATTTGGTTAGCGTCACTTTTGCCGTTCATGAGTAATTTCCCTTTATAACGTTGTATGCAAGCAAGGGCTTCATCTGTGTGTTATGAGTGATAGGATAATTCTATTTGATATATGCCTACATGTCTGAATGTATCTTTATAATTTAGTTTTATTCTTGTAAACCATATTATCCTTAAGTGTAGCCAGGGGTTTAATTATCCGTGGATTTTAGACTTCAAATAGATTAAGTGTTTTGTGGTTGTCTGCATGTTCTGTTGGTAATGGATATAATCAGAGAAAACTTTATTTTGCTTTTTTTGGGCAAAAGGGCTTGTATGAAAATTATAACATTTTTACTAATTAAATTATGAAGCTTTTGGGATTTTTTGTAAGCTTATGTGCAGGGAAGTAAAATTTAAAAGGACCAGGCTATAACAAATGTTTTTCTTTGGTATATTAGGTATGCTGTTTTTTAATACTTTTCATATTGGAATAAGTAATTAAAGGACAGATAATAGGAAATAAGAATTCTTAAGTGTCCCCCATGCGACATGTTTCAGATGACATAAAAACACTGGGTGTCTGTCCGTCCGTGCATCATGAAGTGCTCTCACGTGTACAATCCTTGTGTGATTTTTATCAACCTTATATCAGAGATGTATATCCGTAATGTCTTGGAATTAAAAAATCAGTGCCAATCAACTATTTTTAAAAGAGTTATGCCCCTTGGTAATATTTATTAAATGGGAAATTACATTGTAAGTGCTTTCTAGCATACATTTCTTGAAGATCTCTATGAAATGTTTTAAAGAACAAAAATTATTTTTTTAGTTATTGACCTGCTATGGATAGATAAAGTATGTGCAATGTGGGGGACATTGGAACTCTGTTTCTTTTATTATACCCCACGCAACGAGTTGCGGAGGGTACAATGTTTTTGACCCGTCCGTCTGTCTGTCCGTCCGTCTGTCCGTCCGTCATTCCGTCAGTCCTGTTTCTTGTCATCGCAACTCCTCTCAAACCACACAATAGAATTTCACTGACCCTTTTTATACGCCCGTTTACGGGACGTATTATGGTATACCGTTGTCCGTCTGTCCGTCCGTCCGTCTGTCCGTCCGTCGTCAACATGTCGGACATTAACTCATAAACGCTTCAACCAATTTGCATAAATCTTTGGTGAATTGTTTATATCTATTGACGTGAGCTCCCTTTCGTTTTTTATAAATTTTGAATTTTACGTTTCTGAGTTATGGGGTTTTATTCATTAAAAAAAGGGGGATTTTCCAGTTTTCAGACAATAACTCAAGAATGCTTTCACCAACTTGCAAGAAATTGTGGTGAATTGTTTATATCTATTGACATGAGCTCCCTTTTGATTTTTATAAATTTTAGATTTTACGTTTCCGAGTTACAGGGTTTTATTCATAAAAAAAGGGGGATTTTCCAGTTTTCTGACAAAAACTCAAAAATGCTTTCAGCAGTTCTTATGAAACTATGGTGAATTGTTTATATCAATTTAAGTAAGCTCCCTTTAGAATTTTATAGATTTTACATTTTACATTTCTGAGTTATGGGGTTTTATTCATTAAAAAAGGGGTGATTTTCCAGTTTTCGGACAATAACTCAAAAATGCTGTCAGCAATTCTCATGAAACTTTGGTGAATTGTTTATATCTATTGATGTAAGCTCCCTTTTGATTTTCATAAATTTCTAATATGACATTGAGAATTAATTGAACTTTATTTGTTTATAGTCTGACAACAGATTTACTAAGTATTGCGCAACAGCACAGTGTATTGCACAACAGCAAGAAATCTTTAATTGAATGTAAATTCAATTCATATAAACAATTTCAAGTTCTTTTGACTACATTCATTCAGAAACCTGTAATATGTCAAATATTTAATTACAATCCAAATTCAGACCTGTATCAAGCTTGAATATTGTGTCCATTTTTGCCCCAACTGTTCAGGGTTGGACCTCTGCGGGCGTATCCAGCTGCGCTCAGCGAAGCAGTTTATTAGATAATAAAGACATACTATGTAGTTGTGCATATCGACAGGAAATTACGATTCAATTCTTTTTCTAGGAGTTACGCCCCTTTGAACTTATTTACTTTAATGTACTACTGCAACAGTTTGTCATCGCAACTCCTCTCAATCCACACAACAGAATTTCATGAAACTGTGTAGATAATAAGGACATACTATGTAGATGTGCATATTGACAGGAAATTATGTGGGGACGTGGGGTATGTGAGCGCGCTCACTAAGGTTCTTTCATTTTTTATGGCTTTTTCGAAAGATTATTTAAATACAGTTTTGTATGATAACATTTCATTTTATATTTATTAAAATCTTTATTTAATGATCAAAATCTACAATGTTATGTAGTCATACTTTGAATGAGAAATACACAGGAACTTGACCTTGTTTCGTCACCTTATTCCCATCAAGCCGTAAGAATGGAGGAGTATGTACATAGATATTTATAGGCATACTATTCAAAGGTGTTTTAAAAAGAATAAATTATCATCTTCATGTGTATAAGAAAAGAATTATCTCTTTTGGAAAATAGAGCTGATAACCTTATAGCTGTTTTTTTTACCAATTAACTATTTTCAGGACATTACATTATTATTTAATTAATACAGCATTGCTGATGATTATATCAAAGGTGATTATCATGAAATTTTCTTCACATAATTTTTGGTTTTTGTAAAAAGAACTGTTTAACTGAAATACTTTTCTTTTCTTTTACAGAAATAAAGAACTTACAAAACTCGTTAGAGCATTCAGGAATGTTGTCGACAAACTCATCCTTATTAACGAACTCTGTCTCATTGAACTCTACAATACCAAGAGCATCGTCGCCGTCTTTGCTTATCAATAATATTTCTTCTGTTTCACCAAGTGTTTCATTTATTGGATCAAGTAGTGCTAGTACTTTTGTAACCTCCAATACTAATGGTAGTAGTGTTAAACCGGAGGTCAAAATGGTCATGAATGGACCTTTAAATGCTGGTGGACCATTATTGAAACCTCAGAGTGTAAGTGTATGATGTTGATGTTGAAGGGCAGTATTATGTAAGGCTTGGTATCAGTGTATGATGTTGACATTGAAGGGCAGTATTATGTAAGGCTTGGTATCAGTGTATGATGTTGACATGGAAGGGCAGTATTATGTAAGGCTTGGTATCAGTGTATGATGTTGACATGGAAGGGCAGTATTATGTAAGGCTTGGTATCAGTGTATGATGTTGATGTTGAAGGGCAGTATTATGTAAGGCTTGGTATCAGTGTATGATGTTGACATGGAAGGGCAGTATTATGTAAGGCTTGGTATCAGTGTATGATGTTGATGTTGAAGGGCAGTATTATGTAAGGCTTGGTATCAGTGTATGATGTTGACATTGAAGGGCAGTATTATGTAAGGCTTGGTATCAGTGTATGATGTTGACATGGAAGGGCAGTATTATGTAAGGCTTGGTATCAGTGTATGATGTTGACATGGAAGGGCAGTATTATGTAAGGCTTGGTATCAGTGTATGATGTTGACATGGAAGGGCAGTATTATTTAAGGCTTGGTATCAGTGTATGATGTTGACATGGAAGGGCAGTATTATGTAAGGCTTGGTATCAGTGTATGATGTTGACATGGAAGGGCAGTATTATTTAAGGCTTGGTATCAGTGTATGATGTTGACATGGAAGGGCAGTATTATTTAAGGCTTGGTATCAGTGTATGATGTTGACATGGAAGGGCAGTATTATGTAAGGCTTGGTATCAGTGTATGATGTTGACATGGAAGGGCAGTATTATTTAAGGCTTGGTATCAGTGTATGATGTTGACATGGAAGGGCAGTATTATGTAAGGCTTGGTATCAGTGTATGATGTTGACATGGAAGGGCAGTATTATGTAAGGCTTGGTATCAGTGTATGATGTTGACATGGAAGGGCAGTATTATGTAAGGCTTGGTATCAGTGTATGATGTTGACATGGAAGGGCAGTATTATTTAAGGCTTGGTATCAGTGTATGATGTTGACATGGAAGGGCAGTATTATGTAAGGCTTGGTATCAGTGTATGATGTTGATGTTGAAGGGCAGTATTATGTAAGGCTTGGTATCAGTGTATGATGTTGACATGGAAGGGCAGTATTATGTAAGGCTTGGTATCAGTGTATGATGTTGACATGGAAGGGCAGTATTATGTAAGGCTTGGTATCAGTGTATGATGTTGACATGGAAGGGCAGTATTATGTAAGGCTTGGTATCAGTGTATGATGTTGACATGGAAGGGCAGTATTATTTAAGGCTTGGTAATAGCCAGAATCTAGTTTTTCTAGTAAAATAAACAATAGGTTAATTAAAACTGGATAGGTTCACATCCTGATACAGCATGGCTTAATTCTGTAAAACTTGAAAGTCCTTGATCTAGGTTTAAAAATATAGGAGTGCTTATCAAACTGATTTTCAGTTTGACCTTTTAGAATAATGCAGAAAAGGTCAGATAAACCTTCAATTTTCATCAGATATTTTGTTTAAAGAAAAAACACCGGAATGGTTCAAATCGAATTGTTGACATTTTTTTTACTCATATCTAGCTTATAAAGGAAGAGTCCTAGATTTATTAGTATTTACTAAAATTTCAAGGAAAACTGCTAATTTATAATTTGGATTAATATTTTATTAAGCATTTATACTCGTAGAGACAGTCAGTTTGTATGAATTTGCTAAAATTCACAATAAAATATAAAAAAAAACTGACTGATGATTAACAATGAATTCTGGCTAATGACTGTTAATTAGTTTATTTGATAAGGACATCAAGAAGATATATAGGTACAAATGTATGTGTATAAATGAATATGTTTTTTTACAAAATGACATATTTATAGATGTGCCTTAGTGTGTGTTACTCATTTATTGTATATTATACATTAGGTTATAAAGTAAAGATCTCATCGTTTATATATGTTTACCGTATTAAAATGCAGGGGAAAAAAGACGATTACCAAACCCATCTCCCTTTTAAGCTCACCTGGCTTGAAATGTTTGTTGAATTTCTTCATGTATTTCTATAGCAATGTGTGCCTATCGTGTTGGTACCACACTATGTTCAATGTTGTTGTCTACTTCTCCTGTTAGCACTCAAACGACCAGGTTTTTTGTTCTTGCCAATCAATCAACATGGCTAAGAATAGACCATATGGTTAATGCATTTGATGTTTTAATAACTTTAAAACCTTAATAGATTGAAAAAATCTGACAAGAGATCAAAATGGCAAGATGTACCTCCTTCACGTTTCTATTTAAATTATCAGACAAATCCGTAGCATTATTATCTTCCTACAGCTAATTACAACAACACTATATTGTGACCTTCCCTACAGCTAATTACAACAACACTATATTGTGACCTTCCCTACAGCTGACAATCTATAGCTGGTATACAGCAGCAAAATGTTATTCTAAAAGTGTCTGGGCCCACAATACTTAATGGTTTATTTTAACCTGTAGCTGACTTTTAAAAGGGATCTCTCACTAGCACTATATTTTGACATTAGCAGTGTACAAAAGCAGTAATATTTGACCATTTTATAGCTGATAACAGCAATATGGTCCTGACAATAGCACTAAATTTTGATCTGTGTTACAGCTGAAATGTAGCCAGAATAAATGTTTGACAATACATATTTCTTTTGACCTTTGTTACAAAAGACATGTCAGCATTATGGTTTTGACCATCACACTATATATTGATCTCTATTGTGGTTTTAACCACATTTCTTGTAGGTTTCTGACTATGGCATTATATTTTGACCTTTCTTTGTTACAGCTAACGTGGTATAAAGCAGCAAGAGAGTCATTGGTAATATATTTGACAATATTTAGGGGAAAAGGGACTTGTGCTTAATGCTTATTAACCAACTTTTTAACCTAGAATTTGAACAGAAATGTTCGAATCCTATTCAAAACTCATTGCTTCATCCTTTGTAAAAATGTCCCAGCTTTGACTCAGAATATAAAACCCGACAGATATATTTGGATTCTTTGCAAAGAAGACACATTGCTTTATTTTCTTGTAAAAATGCTTTTTGCCCAGAAGAAAAAGACTTGTGTGGCAAATTTTAAGGATTCCATCCAAAACATCTTATTGTTCTCTGCTGCTCACGCCACAGTGGTTATAGTAATAGTCCTGATCTGTCGGTCGGAAACACAACAATACTCAGAATCTATTAGAAAGAAATCCTGCATACCTGGTAGTTATCTTTGTTGTCATATTGTTTTGACCATACCATCAGTTATATTATGACAATCTTAACAAAGACTTTGACCATGTTTTGGACTATATTAACACATAAAATTCTCATACTTGATAGAACTGTTAGCCATCTTATTTAATTGACCATATTGTACCATTATATTAATGGATCATTTTTATAGTTGTGAAACTTTTGACTATTTTTTATACCCCTGATCAGAAGAATAGATTTGTTATCAACTGTAATTAAGAGCTCACTAGATTTGTTATCGACTAAATAAGTATTATCGACTGTAATTAAGAGCTCACTAGATTTGTTATCGACTAAATAAGTGTTATCGACTGTAATTAAGAGCTCACTAGATTTGTTATCGACTAATTAAGAGCTCACTAAGATTTGTTATCGACTGTAATTAAGAGCTCACTAAGATTTGTTATTGACTGTAATTAAGAGCTCACTAAGATTTGTTATCGACTGTAATTAAGAGCTCACTAGATTTGTTATCGACTGTAATTAAGAGCTCACTAAGATTTGTTATCGACTGTAATTAAGAGCTCACTAAGATTTGTTATCGACTGTAATTAAGAGCTCACTAAGATTTGTTATCGACCGTTATTAAGAGCTGACTAAGATTTGTTATCGACTGTAATGTATTTTTAAATTCATTGTTCATCAACTTCCTGTTTAACAAATTTTGAAAGCTTGAGAATTAATAGTGAGCTCACTATTTTACTTGTTGGACCATCCAAATAGAACGACGTCTTGTTAACCCAACTGCTCAGGCTTCTTTTGACAGAAAGTTCCCAAACTTGGTATAATTGTTTGCCATCATGAGTTATTGAACATAGATTATTTTATGATTTTTTTTAACTTTTCAATCACAAAGACACCTTGTGAACTCTTCTGGGACAGTTTGACAGAAAGCTCTTATACTTGCAGTATTGTTTGTTCTCGTGTATTTTTGACCATATTGGACTGATATTGATTCTATCATTTTTGGCCAGGGAAAAGTTGGTACCAGTTTTGTAAAATTAACTCCTAAAGTTTCCAACCCCAATCCTGAAACTTCACAAAAAGATTGCTCACCTGTTGTGCACCTGCTGTTACGGAATTTGTTTCACAAATATATTCCCATTTTTCCAGACTTTTTCATTAAAATTTACAGAAGACAGTACCAAGTTTGTGTAAACAAACCTCCTACAGTTTTCAAATCAAATCCTTGAAACTTCACAACAGGTAGATTTCACATATATTGAAGTTGTGCAATTGCTATCATTGAATTGATTAAAGAATTTATTGTAATTTTTCTGCTCTTGGGAACTTAATTTTTCAGTTAAATTTTCGCATGATGGTACCAATTTTTGTTTTCAACCGAGATCTATAGTTCTTTACAGAAATGATAATTGATTCAAATTGTTTATGTAAATGCTTTCTTTTTCAGAGCTCACAGTCTAATTTCAGGGTAAACTATATTCATGTAAATCCTTTCTTTTTCAGAGTTCAGGGTCCAGTTCAGACTATTTATTACTGTAATTATAATTTTAATTTTAATATAAACTATATTCATCTAAAGTCTCTTTTTTCAGAGTTGTTCAGAGTCCAGTTCAGAATCCATGTCATCTTTAAAGTCCATAGCACAGCAAGCAGTAGTCAATGCGGGTTTAGAAAATCAGATTCCTCCTCCATCGTCAACGGAAACGGTGTCTATATCAACAGAATCAAGGGGTATAATTACGAATTACAATTTTATATCATAACATAAACAAACAAAAGTATTGTATGATACAATAACCTAGTTATTTTTTTGGGGTACAGATTTCATGAAATCCAATCAAAACCATTATGTTACTGGTTTGACTGCTTCGTTGGTCTTGTGATAGCTTGTTTTCCTCGAGTATGGGAGGTTGTGAGTTCAAATCCTAGCCAGGTCAAACAAAGACTTGAAAATCGGTATTTGATGCTTCTCTGCTGAACCTGTGAATTGTATTAACATCATAGTGCAGTGCGGTAAACATTCTTTTGATCTTATCCAGCCCATGTAATGCAATTGTAATGCAAATTCAGTTTTGCAAAGTGTTTGAATCTATCTGCTATAAAAAAAAATAAGTTCCAATACAAATGCACAATTATGAACAAAGGAAAATAAATGATTCAAAATATGTAATTTGCCCAAATGTCTTCCGTTGCTATTTATAAAAAAAACAATTAAATGTATAATTTTTAGTTCAACCTTCAGTGTTTACAAGCACTTTGATCATATAGTTTCTCAAAAAATGAATGCTTCAACAGTTTGGATTTTTTCTGTTTTGAAAAAATCAGATCTGTAATTTTTGTATTCAATTTCCTTTAGCGTCTTTTACTGGAAGTAATTTTACCACAATTTTGGAATAAGTTAGAGATATCGTTTGAATGGATATTATGTTGCAAAGGTTTTAATCATATTTAGTGTTGATTAATCCAATCCTAATAGTAAGGAACAAAGAAACTGAAATGATAACATAATACTATAAAACATACACACATAGTCACCTGTCAACTCTTGCTTATCGTAATACTATAATACATACACACAGTCACCTGTCAACTCCTGCTTATCGTAATACTATAATACATACACACAGTCACCTGTCAACTCCTGCTTATCGTAATACTATAATACATACACACAGTCACCTGTCAACTCCTGCTTATCGTAATATGATAATACATACACACAGTCACCTGTCAACTCCTGCTTATCGTAATACTATAATACATGCTCACAGTCACCTGTCAACTCCTGCTTATCGTAATACTATAATACATACACACAGTCACCAGTCAACTCCTGCTTATCGTAATACTATAATACATACACACAGTCACCAGTCAACTCCTGCTTATCGTAATACTATAATACATACACACAGTCACCTGTCAACTCCTGCTTATCGTAATATGATAATACATACACACAGTCACCTGTCAACTCCTGCTTATCGTAATACTATAATACATGCTCACAGTCACCTGTCAACTCCTGCTTAACATAATACTATAATACATACACACAGTCACCTGTCATCTCCTGCTTATCATAATACTATAATACATACACACAGTCACCTGTCATCTCCTGCTTATCATAATACTATAATACATGCACACAGTCACCTGTCATCTCCTGCTTATCATAATACTATAAAACATGCACACAGTCACCTGTCAACTCCTGCTTAACATAATACTATAATACATACAGACTCAGTCACCTGTCATCTCCTGCTTATCATAATACTATAATATGTGCACACAGTCACCTGTCATCTCCTGCTTATCATAATACTATAATACATACACACACAGTCACCTGTCATCTCCTGCTTATCATAATACTATAATACATACACACACAGTCACCTGTCATCTCCTGCTTATCATAATACTATAATACATACACACAGTCACCTGTCATCTCCTGCTTAACATAATACTATAATGCATGCACACAGTCACCTGTCATCTCCTGCTTATCATAATACTATAATACATACACACAGTCACCTGTCATCTCCTGCTTATCATAATACTATAATACATGCACACAGTCACCTGTCAACTCCTGCTTAACATAATACTATAATACGTGCTCACAGTCACCTGTCATCTCCTGCTTATCATAATACTATAATACATACACATACAGTCACCTGTCATCTCCTGCTTATCATAATACTATAATACATACACATACAGTCACCTGTCATCTCCTGCTTATCATAATACTATAATACATACACACAGTCACCTGTCATCTCCTGCTTATCATAATACTATAATGCATGCACACAGTCACCTGTCATCTCCTGCTTATCATAATACATACACATACAGTCACCTGTCATCTCCTGCTTATCATAATACTATAATACATACACACAGTCACCTGTCATCTCCTGCTTATCATAATACTATAATGCATGCACACAGTCACCTGTCATCTCCTGCTTATCATAATACTATAATACATACACACAGTCACCTGTCATCTCCTGCTTAACATAATACTATAATACGTGCACACAGTCACCTGTCAACTCCTGCTTAACATAATACTATAATACATGCTCACAGTCACCTGTCATCTCCTGCTTATCATAATACTATAATGCATGCACACAGTCACCTGTCATCTCCTGCTTATCATAATACTATAATGCATGCACACAGTCACCTGTCATCTCCTGCTTAACATAATACTATAATACAAACACACAGTCACCTGTCAACTCCTGCTTATCATAATACTATAATACATACACACAGTCACCTGTCATCTCCTGCTTATCATAATACTATAATACAAACACACAGTCACCTGTCAACTCCTGCTTATCATAATACTATAATACATACACACAGTCACCTGTCATCTCCTGCTTAACATAATACTATAATACAAACACACAGTCACCTGTCATCTCCTGCTTAACATAATACTATAATGCATGCACACAGTCACCTGTCATCTCCTGCTTATCATAATACTATAATGCATGCACACAGTCACCTGTCATCTCCTGCTTAACATAATACTATAATACAAACACACAGTCACCTGTCAACTCCTGCTTATCATAATACTATAATACATACACACAGTCACCTGTCATCTCCTGCTTAACATAATACTATTATACACACACACAGTCACCTGTCATCTCCTGCTTATCATTATACTATAATACATACACACAGTCACCTGTCATCTTCTGCTTATCATAATACTATAATACATGCACACAGTCACCTGTCATCTCCTGCTTAACATAATACTATAATACATGCACACAGTCACCTGTCATCTCCTGCTTAACATAATACTATAATACGTGCACACAGTCACCTGTCAACTCCTGCTTAACATAATACTATAATACGTGCACACAGTCACCTGTCATCTCCTGCTTATCATAATACTATAATACATGCACACAGTCACCTGTCATCTCCTGCTTATCATAATACTATAATACATGCACACAGTCACCTGTCATCTCCTGCTTAACATAATACTATAATACACATACACACAGTCACCTGTCATCTCCTGCTTATCATAATACTATAATACATACACACAGTCACCTGTCATCTCCTGCTTATCATAATACTATAATACATACACATAGTCATCTGTCAACTCCTGCTTATCATAATACTATAATACATACACACACAGTCACCTGTCAACTCCTGCTTATCATAATACTATAATACGTACACACAGTCACCTGTCATCTCCTGCTTATCATAATACTATAATACATACACACACAGTCACCTGTCATCTTCTGCTTAACATAATACTATAATACATACACACAGTCACCTGTCAACTCCTGCTTATCATAATACTATAATACATACACACAGTCACCTGTCATCTCCTGCTTATCATAATACTATAATACATACACAGTCACCTGTCATCTCCTGCTTAACATGATCAATTTGTGAATCTTTAATTGTTATTAAACTTTGACAGCAGCTTATCTTCTAAATCAAGAAATACATTTGAAGAAAAAGTTTCAATAAGAAATTCTATATTTTACTAATAAATTGACTTACTTTTTACAGTATACATTACACTTTTAAACTGACAACTGCAATTGCTGGCGAGACACAGGGTTCGGCAAAACCTTTTACTAATTTTTATTTTGAAAATGTGTATCATAAATATTCTTTATTTTCCAGTGCTGTTTAACAATTCAGTGATAACATCAATAGCACCTCAAGTTCCTCCACCGACTTCACCGTCACCGACTGACCAGCCGACACAGACAACCACAATACGATTGAATCCTCTCCTAGGTGTTGCCCCTTTAGGGCCTGTACCATTAAGTCGAGAACATTTTTATCAGTTAACAATGTTAGAGGCTGCATATCATCACCTGCCCCATCCGTCTGACTCTGAAAGAATTAGGTAAGTCAACAGGTTTTTCTGTAACAATGTTAGAGGCTGCATATCATCTGCCCCATCCGTCTGACTGAAAGAATCAGGTTAGTCAACAGTTTCTACTGTAACAATGTTAGAGGCTGCATATCATCTGCCTCATCCGTCTGACTGAAAGAATCAGGTTAGTCAACAGTTTCTACTGTAACAATGTTAGAGGCTGCATATCATCTGCCCCATCCGTCTGACTGAAAGAATTAGGTAAGTCAACCGGTTTTACTGTAACAATGTTAGAGGCTGCATATCATCATCTGTCCCATACATCGGACTGAAAGAATTAGCTAAGTCAACAGGTTCTACTGTAACAATGTTGAATGCTGCATATCATCATCTGCCCCATCCGTCTGACTGAAAGAATTAGGTAAGTCAACCGGTTTTACTGTAACAATGTTAGAGGCTGCATATCATCATCTGCCCCATCTGTCTGACTAAAAGAATCGGGTAAGTCAACAGGTTCTACTGTAACAATGTTAGAGGCTGCATATCATCATCTGCCCCATCCGTCTGACTGAAAGATCAGGTAAGTCAACAGGTTTTGTTAAGAGGCTGCGTATCATCATCTGCCCCATTCATCTGATTCTGGAAAATTCAGTTAAGTCAAGTCAATATATTTTACTTAAAACATATTTATGAAGGCATCCTATTCTGAGAGTGCTCGGTTATCTGACAGCCTTTTTGGGGATTTTTGTTGGACATCAGAGTGCATTCTATATTGAAAACAGACCAAAACTTTGGGCATCAAGATTCTTTTAGAAATCCCAAAAGCTCCATTACTAAGCAGACACAAGTCTTACACCATTCTGTTCCTTGGTCATTTTTCTCCACAAATACTTAACTTTTATTACACTTGCTTCTACCTCATGTAACAAATAAAAGCTGAACTTGCTTCTACCTCATGTAACAAATAAAAGCTGAATTGCCCTCAATCTGCAATATATGTGCATATGACAGTTTGAAGGAAGAAGTAAATCTTGGCAATATTTATATAATAATCACTTGGGTCATATGCATAAATTTTCTCCCAAAATTCTATGAGCACGGAATGAAATAATACAGTCGATTGATAACTTGTTGAAAGTGAAAGCAAGTAGTTAATAAAAAACGAAGAATAGAGAAAAATAAAGGAATTTGTTTTTTCAGAGGTGATCTGATAGGAAGTTATTTCCTGTTTGGTGATTCTTTATATCATACCCTGTACCCACTGTGATCTGATAGGAAGTTATTTCCTGTTTGATGATTCTTTATATCATACCCTGTACCCACTGTGATCTGATAGAAAGTTATTTCCTGTTTGATGACCCTGTACCCACTGTGATCTGATAGGAAGTTATTTCCTGTTTGATGACCCTGTACCCACTAAGCATGGAATTGTCATCAGTGTTTAATAAAGAGAGAGTTTTACTTTGCATGACATTGTGTTTTCTGTTTCATTAGTTCTGAAATACCTTGTAGTTTGATCCCAGTGAAGAAATATTTTGGTTATTCAAAGACCAGCTTTGTTGGTAAGGAATATAAGATAGTGTAGGCTGACTTGTCAGAGTATTATCTGTTGATAGTGTAAGCTGATTTGTCAGAGTATTATCTGTTGGTTCCTTGTCAATTTTGACCTAGCTATTTTACGTTTATGTATATGAGACTTCCAACCTTTTCATGTAGACTTATTGTTTATTTTTCAGACATTATCTTCCTCGTCATCCGTTCCCTACGCCGACATATTACCCACAACTTCCACCTCCTCATGCAGACTCAGTGGACTACTTCTTTCAACGATTATCGACAGAAACATTATTTTTTATTTTCTATTATATGGAGGTGAGTCAAGGTGTAATAAATATAAAAATTAAGTTTAGATAGATGCATTAAGTTTTCCGAAGAAATCAGAAAGAAAAATTGAACTGTCAACAAAAGTTTTCTCACAAATACTGTTTTCCAGTTTAACCCTTTTTAGCCAATGCAGTGGTGATAAAACTTACTTTGTTGATGGTATCATGTGAGAGGTGATCCTAGTTTGATGATTTTTTGACGATTTATGAATATTCTATATAAATCAGAATGTCTTGAAAAATTTGTTTGGTTTACAGCAATGCCATCATGACTTTTACGAAAAAAAAAGTGAACTACCAGTAACCAACTTCTAAAAAGTTCCATTTATAATGTTAGAATCTAAAGACAGCAAATTCATAGAACTTACTTCTGTGTACATTTCTTTGGAGTTGTTAATCAATAATGGAAAAATATTCCATGTATTATTGTATGTGCACATTTAATACTTCTTTCTTAATTTTCATATGGTCTTAAGAGTACAAATATGCTGTCTGCTTTGATGCATACATGACTGTTATAACCCACAAATATATGCAGCATATATCTCAACTATTAAACAATGTTTGTCATTTTGGGGCCTTTTATAATATGCTTGCTTTGCGGTATGGGTTTTGTTCATTGTTGAAGACTGGTGACTTATAGTTAAAACTTCTGTCATTTGTTCTCTGGTGGATAGTTGTCTCATTGGCAATATTCTTATGTTTATATTGGTTATCTCCCTTGGAACAAATCATGGTTGTTTTCATGTTGACATTCAACTTATTTTTTTAAAACATGTAACATATATGTTGAAGATGCTTAAGTACTGTTTCTTTGGGGGGTTGTTTTCAGATTCATAAATTCAAAAGGAGATATATTAACCCCAAATTCTTTTAATACTTTAAAATGTTTTTTGATAAAAAAAACAAAACTTCTACAACAAGATTTTGAATTGAATTGGCCTTTTGTATCTGAACCCATCTAAAAGACGGATTAAAATTTATTAAATTAATGTTTCTTCAGTTAATCAAATATTAAATTCCCATTTGTTTATATTCTGAGTGTTCAGTTACTTTTGTCCTTGTGTTTTATTTTTCTTACAAGTGATATAACACTGCTAGCAAATTTCTAAAAGGTAGAGAAGAAAATATTTTAATTTATTGGCAATTAGTACATTTTCCCATTGATTTTACTACCTAATACTTTCCTATATCATGGACAGGACCTGATACTGTAAATTTAGAAACTGTTACTTGCATTTATTATTGCGATTTTTGGAGAACGGAGAAAAATGAGATATTAATTATTGCGATACATGTATTAGATATCAGAATATGAGTTCTTATTACTGTGATACTTAACCAGTCAGATTATTTGCATTAAAAAAAACTTCACAATAATTTCTGAATTTACAGTACTTGAAATATTAGGCAGTGTTGTCACGTAACCATGCAGCAATGTCTCTCGCTTATGTCCATCAGCGTCAATTTATCAATAAAAATGCATGCAACTTCATTCATACAACCAAACAACTATCACAATATTTTACGCATAGAAATAGATTTACTAACTGTTTCGTTTTAATCAATATTTTTAACCAAAAAACATATTGTTAAGACAAAATTGCCAATAAACAGAATAATGGCATTCTATTTTTTTATACTGACTTCATCATCTCAAATGGCAAAATCCATAATGTAATGAGCCATAAAAACTTAACTGCTTGATTAATACTACAACAATAAACTAAAAACAAATATGGCAGACGATATATAACTTTAACCCTTTCGCTGATGAGTCCCGGTTTACCGTGATTCACGCTTCAGACAGCTGACGATGAGTCCCGTTTTACCGGGATCGGAATACCTCTTTTATATTTCCCGCTCAAAACAGTGCAAACACAAGTTATCTTTCTTTGTTGAATACCCTGATGAAAGTGTAAACATGGCGCTTCCGTTTGTTGAAAACCGTGTCAAAATCAGAGGAAATTTACGAGAATTTAAAAAGAGGGAACTTTTTTTTGAAAGAATATGGAAGAATTGAAGCCAAACTAGTATACTTTTTTGACATAAAATGTCGTTTTATGTACAAAACACTTGGAATGGACATCGTTCAGTGTAAGGAATTTGTACAGCCTCATTAAATATTTCAAAATTATGCTGTTTTGGGTTAAAAAATTACGATTTTGGGTAAAAAAGTAGAATTTTGAGAATTTCACCTAGATAATGCCGAAAATTTGAAAATTTGAATATTTTATGAAGAAAAATTATCAAAACATGAACAAAACTGTGAACATGGTATTAGTGAATGAAATAAAGACACAAATAACTACAGACAAGTTTTTATTGACATTTATTATGAAGATCTCCCACTTGAGTAATAGTAGCCAGGGAAGTCATCGTCTCAGATTAGCCTCTGTCTGGGCAGCTATCGGTGAAAGGGTTAATGATTTTTTGTTCAGATTAATGTTTACGATAAAAAAATTTTTTGATAAGTATGGATGCTTTACAAATTATCATTGATTTCGAAAGAAATTTTCTGAATATGTTTGCATGAACACCAAATTTGATACAACTAGCTTTGCTTACAGAGATTTGTTAAAATGTTTTAAAATTTTGTGTTAGGAAGGACTCAAATGTTTAACATTATTGTATATATTTGTAGGGTACAAAAGCTCAATATCTGGCAGCAAAAGCTTTGAAAAAACAGTCATGGAGATTTCATACCAAATATATGATGTGGTTTCAACGGCACGAAGAACCAAAGACTATCACTGAAGATTTTGAACAGGTAAAATGTTTATTCATTATTCTGGTCTAAAAATTGAATGTAACATACAATTAAATATATGAAAAATAAAACTATTGAAGACATAATTTTGGTACTCTTGCTTAGATCAAGCAATGAATTTACTATTTGATTTCTAATTATTATCCAACTAATACACTGAAGAAGATGTGGCCTTTGAACATAGAAAAATGTTTGAAAATAAAATTATCTGTTTCCTGCACTTTTGATCTATAATGTCTGAATGTATTGATTTGATTTTTATGCCCCACCTAGTATAGTATTAGGGGCATTATGTTTTTTGGTGTGTGCGTCCGTTCGTTCGTCTGTCTGGCCCGCTTCAGGTTAAAGTTTTTGGTCAAGGTAGTTATTGATGAAGTTGGAAGTCCAATCAACTTGAAACTTAGTACACATGTTCCCTATGATATGATCTTTCTAATTTTAATGCCAAATTAGAGTTTTGACCCCAATTTCACGGTCCACTGAACATAGAAAATGATAGTGCGAGTGAGGCATCCGTGTACTATGGACACATTCTTGTTAGGAAAATTCCAATCGGCAACAACTCCTTTTGAATAAAACATTCACCACACCTTACACTCAAACACTAGTGCCATATTGTAATACATATGCAATACCCTCATAATGCTTGTTGCAATATATTGTTGTCTTGTAAAGTAACACTATAACAGGGAGAAAAGACAATCTATTGAAATAGCGATAGCCCATAGTTTAAATTCTCATCAAATTGCAACTGACTGCTGCTTCTTTTGTCTGCATAATTAACATCTTTCCATACAAGCAAGTACTGTGAAAAGTTGACTAGAGCTGATGAGGTTGTCAGAAAATGTTTAACCGTCAATCCTCAAATTGATATAATCAGTCAGAATTCAACAAAAAATTGTACGGATCTTTGATGCAAACCACTTACAATTACTCCTTGATGGGTGAATAGGTTGAAGACCAAATCCTTGCCCCTAATCAACATACTGTGGCAGTAAAAATTCTTTGCCCATCTCAGTCAACTCATATTTCAGTACCTACTGTGATTCATTGTTCTATTTGTTCTTAGTTTGTCTTGGACCTTTCACCAAACAACAGTTTATCAGCCATTTACACAAAATGGAACATAGTATCAAATTAAAAGAATAACATAAAACAATATTTTCACTTCTAAAATCTGCAGCTAAAATTGGCAAGATTTTGTATAATTCTTTCAATTTCTTTATAGCACAAAAGGAATTATGGGACACAAAAATGTACACATATATTAAAAACAAAGCAAGTCATGCATATTAATATCTCCAACAGTAGCCAATGTTCCTCTTTACACCTGTGTTAACATGATTGTTTCATTCTGCATTCAGTCTAGCTCTTGTAAACTATTTCTTAGTTTATAGAAATTCAAGTTTTGTAGCAAGTTTAAGGCTAAGTTCAGACAAGAGATTTATATTTTCAATAAAAAAATGTTGACTTTGTGATTTTTAAATTTGAATTCTTTTTCTTTTCAGGGCACATATATCTACTTTGACTATGAAAAATGGGCCCAGCGGAAAAAAGAAGGTTTCACCTTTGAGTACCGATATCTGGAAGATCGAGATTTAAATTAATGAGCTGATGTCCAAACAAACTATTGTTAACGTGGATCTGTTTTAAACTGCCATTTGAGTCTGATGAGCCACATTGTGTGCAGTAATGACTTGTTACTATGGTAACTTGTTACCCTGAATGGTAACCTGCTGCAGTCTTTGCAGGGACAATACTGCATTGCAGTCAAAATTATTGTGATATGGATGAATGGGAGAGCAGGGAAGTGGCCACATCTCTGATCTCACAAACATTGATGGATTATCTCCCCTTCTCATTTACATATGTAAAATTGACAACAATAATGCTATGAAGTTTGCAGGAGAGGTAATTCATTGATGTTTCTCATTTTCATGGTTGAATGGTCGTTATGAATGTCAAGTTTCATTTTCATGGTTCATTTTATATGCAAATGGTTGTTGAAAAAAATAGATGTTCAACCAAAGTTCTGCTCAACCGTGAAATGTCTGCTGAGTTTGTCTATGTGCTCTACTGAATGATAAGTCTCTACTAATCATATGAAAGACTAGTCCTTTAAAAGAAGCAGTAACCTAAAGATGTTGAATTTTTTCCCATTATTTGTATTTTATCGTAAATGACAATCTAAAATGAGATTCCAGTCTCATCTTTTTCTATTGAAATAAACGACAAAAAACCTAAATCAGAAAATTTTAGTTTCCAATTCGTACATGTAAATTTGTTAAGAAATTTGGAAATTTAAATCTTCTGACCTTACATTAAGTAGTAAAACCATGGACAAAATGTACTCTTCATTATATTATAATTATTTTATGCAATGTGCAATCAAAGCTATTACTTAAACACACATAAGTATAATGTATAATTTGCCACAGAATGTTTTCCAGTGGATATTTTTGGTCGAAACAATGAAATCCTGTTATAAGTGCTATAGTACAGATGAATGGTTGTATAATTCCTAGAAAATTTAACTAGTCTTTGAAAAAAATACAAGTGCTGCATAATTTTGTCATTTTTGCTAAATAAATTTTTTCTTAGGTCTATATTTTAATTTGGAAACATTTTAGAAAATTTTGTTTGTTGAAAGCATTCTGTATATACGTTATTACAGTTTTTGTGCAATGAATTGGTTTTTATTGTCTTAGTAGTCAAATTATAGTTTATACAAGTTATCAATTTTGTTTAAAAAGTAAAGATAAATGTTTGATTTTGCAATACCGATTATTATCTCAGTATTAACATGCTTTTACAGTCAATAGACTCCTTGTTATAACACAGCAAACTATGTAAGCTTTCTTCTTTATCTATATCATACTGTAACCATTACTATATCAAAATACATCTTGGCCAATATTAAATCGGGATCAAAAAATTCATTTAGAATGAAAATCTTTTTAAAAAATATTAGGAATTTCAAAAAATATTTTAATTCATTGTGTAGAAATGAATTTTGTCATTGGTCTTAATTTTGCTATTCTGACTCTAAAAAAAAACACTTGGGAGATGTAAAATTTGTTATTCTAAGATTTTAACTGTGCTAAAGTCTTTGTTTTCACACCGTTAGGTATCTTGAAATAATTGTTTTCACTTTGATTTTAATTCCTTTACCTCAGATACTTAAGAAATGTAACATAATTTATAGAAAGAATTTTACAGTATGTTTTGGAAATGAATCTGTTTGAATATGATATGTTGAGCTAAACTAAGGTTACAGTAACTTGAATATATAATGATATACTTTGAGCTAATGGTAATGTGACTGTTAACACTAACTCTAGTGACAGGTGTTTGTAGTATAGGCTAATCATTCACAATGACCACCGTTACTCATGGTTAGAATCATTGGCCTATATTGACCACCTGTGTCATATGGATAGTGTTGACAGACAGAATTGTTCCATGGATTCTAACAACACCATATTTCGTTTGACAGTGGAGCCTATTCTATAATTCTGATGCTAAGATGGGGAGATGATTTCTAATTCATTCATGTTATCTGATAGGCATTTATATAAAGGCTGTGTAGGACGCACAGGTATTGGTGTACACAAATTTTTTTATCAATAATTTTGTTTAATATATTTTTTTGAGGAAATTCTAAAGTTCTTTTGTCAAGTTTACAAATATTTTTCTTCAAGTTCTTTTTTGTTCAAAATAGGGGGTTAATTTTGTGAGCTGTGCTCAGGGTTTAATTTTTTGCAAACCACAGTCTAGTCATTTTGGCATTTTGTGATGAAGCAGGAAAGAAATTTGAGATTATCTCCCCTTGAAATAGTATGTAGCTTGTCAGCATTGAAATGGTTGACAAAAAAACAGAAAATACTTAACAGTGATCATGTGATAGTCAAATCATAAGGTGGGCCACTCAGTCAGTTTTATTTGTGTGGACTATTTTTGTACAGTATGTAAATTGATGCCTTGGTGCCTGTAGCCATGGTGGTCTCCAACCATAGATGTTGTGTGACTACTCACTCGGCTGAGGAGCATCAGGGTCAAGCAAAATAAAAAATGCTGGAAAAATTATAAAAAATAATAAAAATAGACAAAGAAATTTGTCCAATGAATAAAATAGAAGACTTTTTCTTTTTATCCAATAATAATTTGAGGTGAGCTAGATCTATCAGTTTAGTATTCTTTACAATTGTCATGGTGAGCTAGATCTATCAGTTAAGTATTCTTTACAATTGTCATGGTGAGCTAGATCTATCAGTTTAGTATTCTTTATAATTGTCATGGTGAGCTAGATCTATCAGTTAAGTATTCTTTACAATTGTCATGGTGAGCTAGATCTATCAGTTAAGTATTCTTTATAATTGTCATGGTGAGCTAGATCTATCAGTTAAGTATTCTTTACAATTGTCATGGTGAGCTAGATCTATCAGTTAAGTATTCTTTATAATTGTCATGGTGAGCTAGATCTATCAGTTTAGTATTCTTAACAATTGTCATGGTGAGCTAGATCTATCAGTTTAGTATTCTTAACAATTGTCATGGTGAGCTAAATCTATCAGTTTAGCTTTCTTTATAATTGTCATGGAACTACAATGTTACAGGAGTTGGACAACAAAGTAGAAAGTATATTTGGTTGGCATCTAATTTTACAGAGTGTTTCAGTTCTGTCAGCATTACAACATAGAATTACATAAGAATATCAGTGTATAACAGATCATACCAACCTCTATTAGCATTACAACATAGAATTACATAAGAATATCAGTGTATAACAGATCATACCAACCTCTGTTAGCATTACAACATAGAATTACATAAGAATATCAGTATATAACAGATCATTCCAACCTCTATTAGCATTACAACATAGAATTACATAAGAATATCAGTATATAACAGATCATACCAACCTCTATTAGCATTACAACATAGAATTGCATAAGAATGTCAGTGTATAACAGATCATATCAGTCTCTATTTGCATTACAACATAGAATTACATAAGAATATCAGTGTATAACAGATCATACCAACCTCTATTAGCATTACAACATAGAATTGCATAAGAATGTCAGTGTATAACAGATCATACCAACCTCTATTAGCATTACAACATAGAATTGCATAAGAATGTCAGTGTATAACAGATCATACCAACCTCTATTAGCATTACAACATAGAATTACATAAGAATATCAGTGTATAACAGATCATATCAACCTCTATTAGCATTACAACATAGAATTACATAAGAATATCAGTGTATAACAGATCATACCAACCTCTATTAGCATTATAGAATTACATAAGAATATCAGTGTATAACAGGTCATACCAACCTCTATTAGCATTATAGAATTACATAAGAATATCAGTGTATAACAGGTCATACCAACCTCTATTAGCATTATAGAATTACATAAGGAATATCAGTGTATAACAGATCATACCAACCTCTGTTAGCATTATAGAATTACATAAGAATATCAGTGTATAACAGATCATACCAACCTCTATTAGCATTACAACATAGAATTACATAAGAATATCAGTGTATAACAGATCATATCAACCTCTATTAGCATTACAACATAGAATTATAAAAGAATATCAGTGTATAACAGATCATACCACTCTCTATTAGCATAACAACAAAGAATTACATAAGAATATCAGTGTATAACAGATCATACCAACCTCTATTAGCATTACAACATAGAAATACATAAGAATATCAGTGTATAACAGATCATACCAACCTCTATTAGCAGACTCCTCCCTAGAAGTATATCTAAAGACAAACAACAAGGAACACCTATTGTCCAGGTCGCCTGACTTGGTACTGACACGTACTATGGTAGAGATAAACCACAAACCACCCCTATTGCCTTTCTATACCATATGTTGTAAAAGTAAATACTCAATAAAAAAACCTGCACATTCCAGCTACCAAGAGGATGACCACTAATAAGATGGCACATAATTTGGAGAGTTTAAATTTACTGCTACTTCTGTATGCTAGCAAGGGGTAGCTACAGCTGTTATTCGAATATTGTACCTCGAGTAAAAAACATCAGAAACATCGTTCTTCATGAAGATTCCTTGTAAAACTGAATTGATGTGTAATAAATGTTGTCAGTGAATTTTACCGACTGGTATATAAATAAGAGTCATGTGATACCTTGTCCAGATTTTGCTGTTCTTTTTGGTCCTTGTCGTTTGTTAACTTTTACAAAAATCTTCTCTGAAACTACTGGGCCAAATTTAACCAAACTTGGCCACAATCATCTGTAGTATCTAGTTTAAAAAATATGTCCAATGACCCTGCCTACTAACCAAGATGGCTGACGGCTAAAATTGGACACGGGTAAAATGCAAGTTTTGTCTATTATTTTGAAAACCATTATAAATAGAGAAAATCTGACGGGGAGCAAAAATGTTAAGAATGTTGAACTCTACCAATTGTTCATATACATCAAAACTGTCAGACACTTCTTATAGGAGTTATTGCCCTTAAATGACAAATTTAACTTTTTTTTTCTTTCTTAGCTCACCTGGCCCAAAGGGCCAATTGAGCTTTTCTCATCACTTGACGTCCGTCGTCGTCTGTTAACTTTTACAAAAATCTTCTCCTCTTCAACAACTGGGCCAAATTTAACCAAACTTGGCCACAATCATCATTGGGGTGTCTAGTTTTAAAAATGTGTCTGATGACCCCGCCTGCCAACCAAGATGGCCAACATGGCTAAAAATAGAACATAAGGGTAAAATGCAAACGATTTTTACCATTTTTTTTTTGCGTTTTGCGTCATATGATAAAAATTATAATAGATAAAAAGACACTTTAAATCACAAAAATGATCAGCAAAGCAAGATCTACTAACAAGTCAAATTTTGCCAATATAGTTAGTAGACTGTCACTCTTTATAGAAGTGATTGACTTAAATGAGGATTTTTTTTTACCCTCTTTTGTGTTTTGAGCAAAAACTCAAGAAGATGGAGAGACTACATGATCAGCAATATAAGAACAAAACATTTGTCATGAATTCTATTCTCCTCTACAATGTTGGAGAGTGTCCTTTGTGGAATATGCACATAGACCAATGTGAGCAACACAGGCTCTTTAGAGCCTCTAGTCAGTTATTATCAGCTATGCACTTTTGAATAAGGTTTTGGATTTTTTAAGGATTAGGCTTTGAGCATCACTAAAGACACATTAATTGTTGACATGCACATCTGGTGCAGTTAACATAGGTGCCATTATTGTTATACATTTGTCATTTAGGGGCCTTTTATAGCTGACTATGCGTTATGGGCTTTGCTCATTGTTGAAGGTCGTACAGTGACCTATAGATGTTAATTTCTGAGTCAGTTGGTCTCTTGTGAAGAGTTGTCTCATTGGCAATCATACCACATCTTCTTTTTATGCCCCCGCCATAGTGGAGGGGGCATTAAGTTTTACCCTTGTCTGTCTGTACGTCCCTATGTCCAAAATTGGTTTCCGTTCTCTAACTTTAGTTTGCCACAACCAATAGTTATGAAGCTTATACATAATGCTTATAACCACAAAACACAGATCAAGTTTGAATTTTGGTGGCGTCACTTTTACTGTTCTAGAGTTATGCCCCTTTCCAAATGAAAATATTGCGGAATTTTTCGTTTCCGTTCTCTCACTTTAGTTTGTCTCAACCAAATGTTATGAATCTTATACACACTGCTTATTACCACAAAACACAGATCAAGTTTGAATTTTGGTGGCGTCACTTTCACCGATCTAGAGTTATGCCCTTGCCTCAATCAAATGTTATGAAACTTATGCACAATGCTTATTTCCACAAAACTCAGATCAAGTACAAATTTGGATAGTGTCACTTTTACTGTTCTTGAGTTCTGTCCCTTTATAACATTATATGCAAGTGGGGGCATCATCTGTGTCCCATGGATACATTCCCCATTTATTATACGACCGCAAAAATATTGGTATGACGGCGTCGTCGTCGTTGTCGTCCGAAGACACATTGGTTTTCGCACAATAACTTTAGTTTAAGTGAATGGATCTCTATGAAATTTTACCACAATACCACAAAAGGAAGGTTGGGATTGATTTTGGGGGTTATGGTACTAACAGTTAAGGAATTAGGGGGCAAAGGGGCAAAAAAAAAAGCATTTTTCTAGTTTCCAGACAATAACTTGTGGAACGGTGTATGGATCTCTCTGAAATTATACCACAAGTTTCCATACCACAAAAGGATGGTTAGGATTTGCTGTGGGGGTTATGGCTCAAACTGTTTAGGAATTAGGGGCAAAAAAGGGGGAAAAACAAGGGTGTCCTGGTTAATGGACAAATACTTTAGTACAAAACATAATTTAAAGCAGTGTAAGGGAGGTAATTCAGATACATCATTTGAATTACCTCCATTACACTGCTTTTAAATTATGTATAAAGTAATGGTTAATGAACATATAAGACAATTTAAAAGCAGTGTAAGTGAGGTAATCCAAATACAACGTTTTGATTACCTCCCTTACACTGCTTTTAAATTATGTTTAAAGAAATGCATATTTATAAAGGAAGACCAGTAAAAATATCTGCAAATGTTACATCTTTTTTTTTACAAAAAAATCCATATGAAAGATTTGACACCATATTTTAAATTCTATTATAAAATAGATTAAGTTAGCACTATGGTAAATTTAAATGGGTAATTATGGTTGCAAACTCCATTGGAAATTTGAGAATTGAGATTATGACCATTTCTTGAGGGAAAGAATTTTTTTAGGGGGAAAAAGGGGGGGGGGGGGTAAAAAGAAATTTTGGGG